CATAGATCTTCAAAAAATATTACATTTTAAAAATGTCACAAAAAGGTGCTGAACTCCTGATATTTTGAGCATAAAATTTTGTGAGATATCAATGGGATATTTGGCAGATGTTTAGCCAGTATCAAAAAACATGTGCTGAGTCATAAAAAAAATATTTGCTTCGCGTGTATTTTAGTGCAGATTGAAAAATATGTGTCAGGTCATATTTTTTTTCATTTCACCCATTTCGAACTAATAATTCATCTGTCATTTCTTACACTGTGAATTTTAAAAAAGATCAAAGAATAATAGTGCAGCTAGTTCGTTAGCTTGTCATTCATTAACATGAATTAAAATGAATATTTACACGATAGCAATCGTCATCAAAAGAAAATCATGGTATCATGGTGTAATCATTGTATATATTTTTTCTTAATGACTTGCAATTTAAATTGAAGGAATTGGGAAAAATAGTTTTAAAAAGAATGAAAGAAAATATTGCAAACTTATAAATATTTAGATGTCGCTATTTTACGGAAGCCCGTTTAGGCTAGTTCAGAAAAAGAAATATTTTTTATTGCGTTTAAACACAATAAGTATTGCGTTTAAACGCAAAACATTGCGTTTAATCGCAATAATCATTGCGTTTAAACGCAAAAGATTGCGTTTAATCGCAATGTACGAGTATTGCGTTTAAACGCAATCTTTTGCGTTTAAACGCAATAACTTTGCGATTAAACGCAATAGTTTTTGCGTTTAAACGCAAAAATATTTTTGCGATTAAACGCAATGATTTTTGCGATTAAACGCAATACTTTTGCGATTAAACGCAATAATTTTTGCATTTAAACGCAATACTTTTGCGTTAAAACGCAATAATCTTTTAGTTCAAAGGCAATTATCTTTGTGTTTAAAGGCAGTGATATGTATCAAACCTTGCAGAGTACAGTGGACCCACGCATATCTTTTATTTCTTTCTCTTTTTATTTATGAGGAAATTGCGTATTGTTTGGCTTTATAGAATCAGAATTCTCCGATCAAACTCTCTCTGAAAGGATAAATCACTAATAAGAATTTATAGAGGAGAAAAAAATGTCGGGTTGTAAAAACAAAGGCAACCTAAGAACGAGACATTTCTTAAGCTTATTATTCTCTACATTCTTAATAAAGTTTTGGTCAGTTGTGGTCATTTGCTCTGTTAAAAAAACTGTTCCCCTACGTTGCGGTCACAAGTTTAACCCATGTATAAAGGGATTTTTGGAAAGGACTGAGGAAATGTTGGAATTATGCACAACATGATGAAATATTTAGACTTCAATGTACATTCATAACCCTTCCTATGGTTGTATACAGTAAACACAAGAACATATGTGATGGATTTATGTGAGATCAAAATCAAATGAAAACAGATTGATCGATGTGCACTACATGTATCAAATTGACAAGTGCTATTGATACCACTGAAACATTCTCTATAATATGTGATATACGTAAGCAATTGATCAGACACTTCATTAAGAGTTTTGGGTTCTAATACATTTAAGGCATTCAGGTTGTTAGGATGGCATTGTTTTACTACAATTTACAAAAACTGGGAAATTTTGCAAAAAGACACAGAAAAAATCGGATCTTCTTAAAGTTGAAGTGTCGGATCCTAGTACATGTACATGTAATTATAAGCTTTGACTAATTCATGTTTGATTTTGAAACTACAATAAGGAAGGTTTATTGCGTTTAAACGCAAAGATTATTGAGTTTAATCGCAATACTATTGCGTTTAATCGCAAAAGTTTTGCGTTTAATCGCAAAAATCATTGCGTTTAAACGCAAAAATTATTGCGTTTAAACGCAACAATATTATTGCGTTTAAACGCAAAAAGTATTGCGTTTAATCGCAAAAGTATTGCTTTTAATCGCAATCTTTTGCTTTTAAACGCAAAGTGTTTTGAATTTAAACGCAATATACATTGCGATTAATCGCAATCTTTTGTGTTTAAACGCAATGATTATTGCGATAAAATGCAATGTTTTGAGTTTAAACGCAATAATTATTGCGTTTAAACGCAATGAAAAATATTTCTTTCTCTGAACTGGCCTCAACGGGCTTCCGTACTATTTCATAATTGTGTGTTTTCTATCAGTTTTACTGAAATAATTAATTTGAGATATAAATTTAGTACCTAATTTCAAAAGATTGACAAAATTGTCATTTCCCGTTCTCTTTGACAATTCATATTTGAAAAAAGGATATATAACTGTTATTTAATTACACTTCTTATGTCCATCCTCTACATTTCCTTTATTTTTTTTCGACAAAAAACCAACTTATTTGCTTTTTATTTTAGGAGATTTGTATTGATTTTTTTTATTTTTAAAAATCACTACTTGAAATTAGGAAGAACTAATTTTCTCTGTTAATTTGCTATCAAATAACCATAATGACTTAATGACTTAATAATAACCTTAATGACTTAATTACCTTAATAAATCTAATCATATACCAAACTAGTTAAATAACTGGTGCTAAAGACAAGCAAAACTAACCTCCAATCAATTTTTATACAGGTATTTGTGGGAACCGAACATACGGTTATCGAATTCAACGATGTTGTGGTGGAGAAGTAAATTCCAGTATCCATGGCACAAGCTGTTGTGGAACTAAGGCATACGATTATAGCAAACAAAGATGTTGTGGTGGAGTTATAAATTCCAATATCCATGGCACAAGCTGTTGCGGAACTAAGGCATACGATTATCGCAAGCAAAGATGTTGTGGTGGAGTAATAAATTCCAATATCTTTGGCACAAGCTGTTGTGGAACTAAAGCATACAATTATCGATTTCAACGATGTTGTGGTGGAGTGATAAATTCTGTAGTCTTTGGCACTAGCTGTTGTGGAACAAAAACATATAACTATGCCTTTCAACGTTGTTGTGGTGGAGTAGTTTGCTAGATGGGATACTCATTTTAATCAAGAACTTACCAACACTGTTTAGGCGTAGAATTAATAAATTACAGGAATATAGAAATGTATAAAAATACTTTTTTTTAATGAATTAAATTTTGTAAAACCATTATTTTATCAAATATCTTTAGTATTAATTTAAAAATCAAATTATACCCGATCCTGTTTTGAATTCAGTTTGGTCCCCTGATTTAAAAGTCCTGTGATAAATGCCTTTAATGTGTACTGCATGGAGGTTATAAACAAATTTCAATATCGCAATGGCATATTCTGACTGAAATACAAATCTTAAGCGTTAAATTATTTCTACGTGTCTTGAAGTTTCTGGAGAATTTCGAAAAATGAGGCTTAAGTTGAAATATGTGCGACCTTTTCGAAGTATTTTATGCATTAATTAAACAATGCTCTCGATTTTACGAAAGCAGCAGAAACTTTCGACTTGGGGAATATTTCCTTTATTTATATTCAAAAAACGGTTCAAGATTTATTAAGGATATGCTCTTGCGAAGAGGGTATTAAACAAGGCACCTCCTCCATGGCATCTGATCCCATCTCTGATGTTATAGAGGTCCGTGTTTCCTCTGTTCCTGATTTTTATTATTTGAATGGACTTTTGAGCTTGAATACTGTTTGTTATCGCCATATTTCATGCAAAACACGCCAACCCTTTACACATAACACTGTCCATAACACAACCGACAAGTGCATTGCGATCAGTGACTTGTTTATACCTTGCTGTATGAGATATAATTAGCGACAAAAATGAATGCAGTGGTAAGTTTTGATGTAGTTTAATTCTTTTATACAGTTTTAAATAGCAAATCATTTCATTTTCTAGTACTATGCATAAATGATATCTTTATGTGATGTCACAGCCCTGCCCCCTTTATTTAGCCTTAGCAGTGCTGTGTATGAATATATTGTGTTTATAACCAAAAACATAGATAAGTTTCTAAAACATCAAAATATATAGAAACTTTTGAGTATTTATTATGTTCCAAGATGAATATATAAAGCATAATTGTAGTGCTTTAAGCATGACGTTTACTCTGGGTTTTAGTTCAAAGAAATGGAATGCTATGAAGTACAATATGCTAAATTAAAAATTGTTTTAAATGAACAAAATCAATTTTAATTTTAAAAAATTTAATATTTTATCATTTGAAGAAAATATGCAAGAAAAAGGTTAGTTTGTGGTGAAATATTTTATCAACTGAGTAAATGACATCTTTGATTAGAATACATGAATCAATCAAAATATAAAATACATCAAAGGCTTCATCGTTTATTTCAAACTGAAATTATTCAAATATGAAAAAAAGACAGGCTGTTCTTACTGTCGCTGGCTTTCTTGTAGGAAATAGTTTTGAAAATACATTCCTAAAATTTGGATGAATTTGCATGTAAAGTAACAAAAATTTTGCCACTTCTAAAAAAAAAGTAGTTTTCGACTTCTTTCAAAAACTGAAGTGATGTAACCGCAAAGCAACGTCTGGTCCTTCTCTACTAAAATATCCAAATATGAAACAGATGTGTCAGACTCCGTGGTATCTTTTTTTGAGCTCATTGGGATATATCGAGTCGACATATGAGTGGAAGTATAACTATTGTTAATCGATAATACGTCGTCGATATAACTTAATGTCGAGTTAAAGACCATAGCAAGTGTTTTCTTCCCCTCATGTAGAAGTTTTTGAATAAATTCTGCTTCACATGAATACAGAAATAGGCCTGCTAATAAAGGGGCGCAATTGGTACTAGTGGAAATTCCAACAGATTGTTGGAAGACCTGATCTCTAAAAACTACATAGAAATTGTCAATCAGAAACTCAAGCATCTTTTAAATATTAACTTCAGGGTACTTGTGTGTACAATCAGAATTTTTTTAAACAAAATAATTTTGCAAATGACCAATGACAAGGTAAATATATTAGTGAGTTTCATTTTTATTCAAAAAACAGCTGCCTATGATGTCAAACGTGTAATAGGATTAGTAGTTGAAAAGGTCACTTTACTGAAATAAAGCATAAAGTGAAATATATTATGCATCTGAAAGTCATTTTTTCCGTAAAGTGAGCTATTTCAGTTCGTTAACAAAACTCAGATGTTCATTTGTTTTATGTTTTAAATGCCATATTATTGGAACAAATGACAAGTCAGAAATGAAAACATTCCATTAAAAAGCATGTGATTGTACATTTACAAACTCGTGAATTTATTTTGTACAAAATTTCTTTTGTAAAAACATCTATAAAAGGTTTTTATAGATCACAAACGCCACAATCATTGGTGTATATTGTAGACCTCTGACACTGTTCACAGGACATATAGCCTCTTCCTCCACAGGAGGAGTATATTTCCAGTTTCCACATTTTGGAAAATTAAATGGCGGTTTTGGCATCTGGTTAATTTCTCCCACTTGTAGGAGTATTCCCATTCCTATCTCGGCGTGGAAATCAATATGGCAATGGAAAAACCAGAAACCTAAGGTAAATAGTGTCCAATATAAATATATTGAGGGAAAAAGCGCAGGATAAGATCATATCTGCTAATTATTGAAATGCAAAAAATTATGAAAACTGTTCAGAGGAGGATCTTAGTACTGTAGATCACCAAATATTCGCTACACCTTATTTTCGCGAGATGGGTATTTGGCATTTATAAGTGAGACAAAATTTTCACGAATTCTGACTACTGTCCTATATAATCTTTGCTAATAAAAATTTACGCGAGAAGAAAATTCGCGTAATTACGCGAAAATAAAGTTCTCGCGAATAAAAAGTCATTTACACTAAATATGAACTCATATTGTTGTCAATATTAACCATGAAATAAATCACGGCACATGCGTATAATGATGAAAAGCCAAAAACACTTGGAGAATAATGATTAGTAATTAATTTCTCTATATATTCAATTTAATTTCTTGCAATCTTGGTACGGTTAAAGCAGATTCATAGAGGTCTTGATGCTGCATTTTTCATTTAAGATCAAAGGAAGAACTGGTTGATGTGCAATTCCCATCATAGCACATCTCGTCCATCCCGCTGTTATGTTATGCATTAACCTAAATTTTTCTAGCTGGTCTGGTTGCGTGTCATTCTTACTGGGTTGATGAGAGTTATGCATTTAAAGATGAACCTGAATCATATTAACTAGATTGGTGGAGTTTATCTGAGTTATAAATTAAAGTTTAATATCATACCTGAATAGGTATTCGTTATACATTACCTGATATTATAATTGATAACTGCATGAATGTGTATTAAAGATAAATCTAAATATATCATTACTAATTTATCCTGCCTTCATTGGTGGCATGTACTCCTAATACATCACTTGAAGATGCTCCTCAAGTACCTTACTGTTACCTTACCTGGATTCGTAGCGTGTATGCGGAGAATGGTGTATCCACCATCGGGGACAGTTACTGTGTCCTTTTTCACTGACATATTAAGATTTCTGGAAATGTTTCCTGCAGCATCCAACTCTTTCACCTCTTGGAGGGTTGTATTTATGTTAATCTGTGTGTTAGTAAAACAAAAGACTTAATTGTCATAACGCTCTCCTGAATCGTATTTCCATCAGAGTAAATGCTAATCTTGGCTGAGATTCGGATTGGTTGATTTTTGGACTGAACCCATCACCAGACCTCGAGACAGTCCTTCTTAATTCATATCTGGAAACTCTTCCTCAACCTTGATGGCTCAGTCTATAAGCTTGCACCTAGGTGACACTGCTGTTCGCATCCGAAATATCATTTGTTAAGATAATTCTCTACAACTTTTCATACTTCATTGCTTACAGTTTATATACAGTGCTACATATGTACCTCGGTATATTGCCATCTTTTGTCCAAGACAGATTTTGGCATTAAAGCGAGGGTGGCAATATAACGAATTTTGCCATAAATTACAATTCAGTGGGTAATCAAAACAATATAAATAGTGTACGTAATTTATTTCAGTTACAATCTGTTTATGCCATGCTTGTGCACATGTGTATAAGGGCAGCTCTCTCTCTCTCTCTCTCTCTCTCTCTCTCTCTCTCTCTCTCTTTGAAAAAAGTCTTATTTTTTGTTTACATTATTTTGAATGAAAAGAAATAAAATGTCATAATATTGAACACTTTCGCTCTCTCGTCATGCTCTAAGAATTTAATAACCCGATGACAAAGATGCTAGTAACAGTTATAGCCTCTCGGCATAAAAATATTTTTTGAGAATTAACATTAATTTTATCTGAATCGAAAGTAGATTTTTTCACCGTCTCTAGAATTTCTGAATTAGATAAAAAGTTCGATTGGTAAAAAGTCATGACTGATGAATGTTAAGTCACATGTCAGGATACGTCAACCCGTTGTAATAAACATGCTAGTACCTGTGTACTTCTCTTCCGTCTGTTTTGATATTTATCAATCAACCCATTACGTGCCCAACACTTTATGAAAATTTCAGGAGTAGCGGAAGTCCTAATATTTTCACGTGTAGAATTATAGTAGTCTAAAAAAAATAGAGATGGGGTTTCCTTTTGATCGATAGAATGGCTTCTTAATCTAAGGGGACACAAATCAATTTTTGCAATCATTATGGTTTGGTGCATTATCCATGATAAGCAAATTTACTATCAAATAGATCGAATGTTGATCAATAATTAAGCGCTAAGCGCAGCGCAAAGCGCTTACTGTCATCTTAATACTACTTCCGTTCGCGATCCAGCGCCACTTAGCAAGTAAGATAACTCCACAGAGTCTTCTAAAAATATGCAACTGGAAATCCCCAACTCGCTTTCGGCTATTTTAGAGTAATACTGTGTTACGCACAGGTCTAATAATAGGTGTCAATTAGTGAGGTAGATAGTACATACATTGTATGAAAGTCTGCTGTTAGTGGATAAAGGCGGTTCTTATCTCTATACACTGTAGTTCATTAAAAAATCATGTCGGCACTGTGTAACATGTAGCTAACAATTGCTGCAGTGATAATACATATATCGAAGAAGTATTAAAAAACCATCAATGGTGCAAATACCTTAAAAACGGTTTATTATATGTCATGTATATAGTGATTGTTTAAAACTCATATGGGATTTTAATAAGTATTTAAAACTCAAACTGGAAATAAGTTTTTTAATAGAAAATTTCGCATAAAATTGATATACAATGTTCTTATGATCTATATAATTTATATCCATATTAACTAACTTTAAAAACAAGTTTCTCTATTATCACCCTTGCACCATGCAGAGAGCTATCAATGATGTTGATTTTCGCACCTCAGTATCAATTATTAACAGACGTAAATGCATTCATGAACTGTCCATTATTCGTGTAATCCAGCCTTGTTTCGCAAGGAAAGGCAGTTTACGGCTGCACGTACATGTTGGACACGTAGTGGCTGAATCCACATAGAGAGGAAAAACTAATTTCTCGGAAATATTGATGACAAATATGGCGCTTTGTGTGTGCTGTGCGCAAGATATGTCGAAAAATGTAAAACCTTACTTAAACGTTCTCAGTAACGGGACAGGTATGTTTGAGTTGCCGATTTGTCTGCTTAGCAACTTTATGAGCACTAAATAAAAACAGAATGAAACAATGTTGTATATCTTCATGAAAATCAGAAAATAGGGTTTCATATTTGTTCATACTTGAGATTAATATACTATCTTTTCTTTTTTGGGTTGTTGAATTATTTATCATGGAACTAGCACAAAAATTACTGGTCAATTATTTTCAAGATTTCTTTTCAAGGAACACACCGGTGCTGTGGATATTTTATTTTATTCCTATCAGCATGTTTTGAGTGGTAGTTGATATCATACCTAAACAAGTTAAGATTAAGCTAAAGCATCAAATGTCCGTAAAAAAAATTACCGATTCATTTTAAAGTATTTTAACAAGAAAGAGTTAAAAAAAAATACTCGAGTTTTTAATGACATATTTTTATTCCAAAGAAAAAAGTATAAAAATTTTTATTTAAAAATGTGATATTTACAAATCAGCTACACATGTTGTGAGATCAACAGAAAAGACTAATTTTCGACACAAATACATTATAAATCATGTATATGAAAGTCAAAGATTAAAGAATAGCACTGAATGTTTTTTAATCAAACGAAGAAGACAAATATAATATACTTATACTCAAATTGTATATATACCTATTATCTCTGACAAAACTACGAAAACTCTTCAGGTGCTAATTTCCTAGATTTTGTCACTTGTTGATGCCGATATGTTGCACAGCGCGATGAATGTGAAGTGGTAAAAATGTGTAATGCACAGCTGTAGCATATTCAAAACAAAATATAATAGTCTAAGTCTTATTTATCATTAATTAATACCGGCGATTGTGTAAATATCTTACACACTCCATTGAATGTACTTCTTGTAAAATCCTTTCTATGAAATCGTAAATTTTTAATCGCTTATGAATATGAGAAAAAATTGAGATATGATTAAAAAAAAAAAACAATTCAGACAAAATATCTCGTTATTTTAAAGATCTTTTATTCATAACTTTAATAAATGTTATCAATAAGGGTTTTTTTTTTATCGATATGAAGTATTGTATGCAATAAGAAATAACATCTACATTTTCTAACAAATAAAATGACAGTCGCCAACCATAGGCGCTTGGTTTCAGTTCAAATCGGCAAAAGATTGAAGGGCGTTATTCAATCATTTTTGAAGCTAGATCTCGATCATCCGACAACGGTAGGAAAAGTGTAGATATTGATTAAAATCAAGTGTGAACCTAGACACCCCCTGAAATCTAAGATGGCAACTGTCGTACCTTGGTTCTTTTTATATACAGTAGATATGTAATTTTTGAAACGTGCTGATTTCAGCGATTTTCGATTTTTATTTTAATGAGTGTATTCAGACACACCTAGAAAAACACATATGACACAAAATACACCATCCATGCACCTGAAACCAAACGCTTATGTCACCAACAGCCAATCTTCATTTTGAAACACTCGTGAACACGAAATGAATTTATTATTAAAAATTATCACAGAGCTGTAGTGTTTCAGTCTAATAAACTGAAACTGAAAGCAGCGGATGTGACGATTTCTAATAATATAAAATGTAGAAGCGCCTCGGAATTACACGAAAAGCCTAGAGAGGTCAGATTTGTTCTATCTGCATAGATTTAATGATGTTAAAGAAAAAGAAAACTAGAAGCGAGTGCTGCTCATGACGGCAAACTAGCTCTTAAAGGAACACCGAGACGAAGAGTAAAATTCGGACTGTGCACATTGCTCCAAATGAACTTTTTTCTATAATAACTTCCGGAATTGCAATTTTCGCAACAGACGGTTTTTCCATAACTGTGGTATTGCTCTTTCTTGCCATAAATAAATTAAACTTCAAAAAAAAAAAAGTAACCGAGTTGCTTTAATGATTTGTTGAGAGATAGTAAATTTGACGTTCAGGCAAAAACTGTGTGAATTTTATCTTGACTTTTAAAATATATATTCTTTTTTTGGCAAATTCTGTTGAGTGAACATGTAAAATTTGTTCCAAAAATATTAATGCGTTCTATTTCCACTATTGAAGAGTTATACTTCTTAGTGCGCTCTTTTGTGAAAAAGTCGGAAAATGTACAAATCTCGCGGGATTTCTGGGACAAACGTAACATAAACATGTAAACAATATATTGAATGTCGATGAACAAATCCTAACAAAATGTAGATGAAAAATTTTATTGTTGTGGACTTTATATACATTACGAGTAGAAATGACAATGATATCAATTTATATCTATTGTTGATCGTATGTATCTATTTATCGAATGGTACATTTAAATACAATACACATGCCTCGGAAATGTCGTATTTTTTATTAATGGGTGATAAATTTAGGGTTCTCGCTCTCTTACATATGTCTTTTAGTTCGTCTATTCTTTAATTGGAATGAAAAAAAAATTAACATTTAAAATTGGATTGAGGTTGGCATGTTTTGTATTATCCGCAACGCCATGCTGTCCAAGTCAGACGACCAAACGCGCCTCTAATTTTGAAGAGTTCACTAATGGAAATCAAACGTATTGACACCTGCATTTCAAATTCCTGGAGTATGATAACGGGGAAAATGCTCCGAGTAAAAATATGTAGGGCTAACATTCCAAGATATTAGATTGTGTAGATTTGTAGAACTTTCTATTAAATATCTTTCCACCACAAGAAACAGTCCCCCATAAATCTTGTTCTTTATGATTTTATGGCCAGTTTTTAAATTGAATGTTTTATAATTTGTATAATTCAAATATGTTATAGAAAATGAAATTGTAATAAATAGTTTTAAAGTGAGAGGTTATTACTGAACTTTTCTTAAAAGCTAACGAGTGACATACCTTAAATAGCAACGTATATACGACGTCATGGGATGTCACAGTCTCGAATCTTCAAATATATCCTCGTGCGGTTTAAGTAAATGTGTATCAAACAACTGTGCTCGCCCCTAGCGTTTGCTCTGTCAACACATTACTTATTCCAATACAATAGGCAATTTAAATTCAAAATAATTCTGATGAATGTCAAATTGCAAACATTGCTTAGCGCTTTCCAGTACTTTCAGTACTTTGTTTTTCTCTTGTAATCCAAATTTGTACGCTTTCTTTTGCCTAAAGTTTCCATTATTGTGATGAAATAATTAATCTGCCTAATAAAAACACGCCAAAGACATTGCTAATTTTGAGTTTTATTCAACAATTATCTTTAATTTAGCTGAATTCCTTGTCCAGCCAGTCACTCTTCACCTCAACCACTGTCAAAGCAGGGGTGTGTTGTCAAATTTACCGACACGCTCTAGTTAATTGTTATTGTTTTCGAGGATTTTCCTTATATAATTTGACATTTTGTTTCCCCAAACCAGTGGCGGACGGCAATAAGCGGGGTGGCAATATAACGCGTGTATTAACACAGGGGGAAATCCGTTCCTCGAGAATTCCTGGCAATAGGCGAGGGTGGAAATTAACGGAGGGCAATATACCGAGGTAGCAAAGTATGTTAATCTCAAACTTGAATTAGTGTAAGGGAAGTTCAAAATGTGAGAAGACTACAGAATTTTGAATATAATTGATATTTAATGACTCGTCTAAGAATTTATAGAATTTATATTTTGTTGTAATTCACTCATACAGTCTTTAATTAATTCTCTAAAATGAATTTTTAAAACATTTTCGTACCTTTCCCATACCGACCACCCTGTAACTGTAGCCATGTAAATGCATGGGATGATTGGCGTCAAAGGTCTTCCCTTCGTCCACTATGACAAACTCTACCACATCGCCGAGATTGACCTTTTTAATGTCGACACATTCACAAAATTCAGACGAGCAGTTACGGTTCATATTCATAGAATCACACATCATTTCCTGTTAAGAGATAAAGCAACATAAGTAAATGATTTATCTAGACATAATCATTAATGAAAAAAGTCAGATAACGAACAGTGATCGATTTTGTTTCCCTGTGAAAAACAATATCTCTGTATTGTTAGGTTTTAAATTGAAAGGATATTTAAATCAACTTAGTCATATTTGTGGGAAAAAAAGTAGTCCAGTTGTTTTCAAATTTAAAACTAAAGCGTAAAATTCAGAATTAAAATCTTTCTATTCACCTTGGGGATATCTATAAATTGTGTAAGGGGTGGTGCCGGAGGGAAAACTGTAGATATATGGTTGATCTGGGGCAAATACAAGTGTTTCGATCTCTCTACTGCAGAGATAGGGTACAGTACAGGATCGTGGAAATGGTAGTTGTCAATTTTATTGAAATCCATAGACATGTACACGGTTTTATCAGGTTTTTTGGTTAGAGCCGCGTCAGTTTCATGAAGTGATACTAGTCTTGTTACTTGAATCAGGTCCTCAGTCTCCGCCTTGTTCCATGGATTTAGTTTCTGTGAAATCATTTTACAGAAAAACAGTTTAACATTCTTTGTTCAATGTACTATTAAACCATTTTACAAAATTACAATTAAGAAAATAATAGTGAACAAAAGTAACATTAAATACAAAGCATATCTTGACATGGAAAATTGTGCAGCAGATTATTCATATATATTAGCGCTAAATTATGTACCTTTCCTGTGCGATGCCCTGCGTCATATCCTGTAGATAAATCTGGCAGGCTCTCTGCAGCTCCTTGGTAGCGAAGGATGGCCTCTTGGTGTGTCTTTTTCCTACCACAGTCTGCAACACCACGTGTTCGAATCCAGTAATTGTCAATAGACTGGGTAGTATGGAGTACAATATCATATCGTTCACCAGCAAACACGTTAAGTGATTCCACCGTGATAGGCTGCACGGGAAAACCGTCAGTAGCCATGACTATAAGGGTATGATTGTCTATAGAGAACTGGATGGGACAGTTCAGTAAACCGTTGCTTATCAGACGAATCCTGTAGCGTTTGCCTTGATCCACCATCAATGTCTCACGAGGCGTGTAGATTGTAGTGTTATGTTGATTTGTATATTCCTGGAATGCTCCTTTACCTGAATTAATGAGTAATAATAAATGTACTTAGGTTTAGGTGAAAAAATCAGAGGTTGGCATAAGCAAGATACAAATAATCTAATACACATGAATTGTTTATCAGAATTCTAGAATGGTAGGAAAATTTAGTTTATTTCGGTACAAGTAAGACATTATTAATTGCCCCATTTATGAGCATAGAAGCGGGTTTGTTGTCTCCTCCTGCATGATGATGATTTGCAAATCGATTGATTGCTAATTCCACCAACCAGTCGTTTATAATTAAAGTATGTTCCGGTAAATCATGATCGTAAAGTCCAAGATGAGGCTCGTTGGCATCCGACTGACGGATTACAAGAGCTCCAAAGACCCCATCCATTCTCTGAAGCCCAGAATGAGAATGCCAAAAGTAGGTTCCTGGATGGTCTGGCTTGAACCTTAAAAAATTGAAAAGTTGTAATATTTTATTTCTCTTTTTCATAACTAAGAATCTAATTTGGCCAACGAACAAGAGATTGTATTTTCTTTCATGTTTGTCAATTTGACTATTATTTTCTTTGTTGTACTCTCTGTCTACAATGTATCTCAAATCTTTAATTGAAAAAAATAAGATTTGCCTTTCCATAAGATTTTTAGATACATTCAGTAAGTGATGCGAATTGTTTTTTTTTTCTGATTCCTTAGCATCAAGTTGTAGCACACTATAACAAAACCGCAATGATGAATATAATTTAGATGTATACAAGATTTCTGGCTTGACAACCTTTTTTTCCCAATTTTATCCTTTTCATAGGGTGAATAGTGAATACCATGATCAAAAAGATATAATTCACATATACACAAGATATTTCTGGATGGATTCAGGTATGATCAAAATCTTTTCTTGGAAATGATCATTTGGCTGCTTTCAAGAAGTTACAAATAAAATTCATTTATGTTATTCTTGACTTAATTCTTAATTTGTCCTCTCAGACTGGATGTTATATTCTGTAGTCTCTCCTGGATACACTATCCGTTTGGCAGCCCATGATCTTTTTAATATGTCCACATGCTCATCACTTTTTCCCCTAAACGATTAAAAGTTGGAAGTTCATCTGGGAGTGAGATGACCTAATAATATAGGATGATGATCTGAGCAGTTTACAGAAATATCACCAGTTATTGCATACAATTAAATACACTTCCCTGTTCTATTGGATAATCACATGATCTATCATAGATGCCTGTCCATCGTTGTATGCCAGTAAAATGTAATCAGGACGATATGATTCAAACTTACTTGTTATGGATATTAGATTCCATTCGTCAAAAACAAATTCAATTATGAGAACTGTATCACTTGCATGCGTGGTCATGGATTTTCACAAGTGGAAATGAGGTCATTGCGTATAAATACTGGTCCGTATTCAGTGGGGCTATGCAATATATATATAATTCCGATATATATCTGGTTGACAAAAAATATCGAATTCCTATACATTTTTCAGTACCGATATAAATCGACAAAATGCTCGAACTCAGAATAAAGCAGATGCTCTGGATTTTTAAAATCTAATGAAAAGTTTAAGATGTTAAACAAGTCAAACAGTAAAGCGAAAGCTGGTGCATTTCACTGCAAGCTGTAAAATCACACATTTTCGTGGGGTCAAAGTTTCGTGGTTTTTGGGGAAAAAATTGTGGGGGATTTGATATAATGGATGAAGAAGTACCGGTAGTAGGTTGTTAAATATTTTTTACATAGTTATTTCTTACATTTCGTTGAGGACATGATTTCGTGTGCTTTTTTATACCACGAAAACAACGAAAATTATCCCCCTATGAAAATTTGTGATCTCACAGTAATTGTTGTAAAATTAACAAAATATATAATTTTAAAAATATATATAATAGTTTAATACTTTGTACATTCTCCACATAAATTGAAGTTAATTAAGTGAGAAGGATCTCTTTTTTACAATTATTAATCGTAATACGTTACGAAAATATAGCATTATATTGCTATAAGAAATTTTCAGCCAATAACCAGTTTTCACATTCAGTGTATGTGTCAAAATATTTTTCTACCCTTTCTACTGCGTATTCATTTGTCGAAATGTTAATAGAAGGTAGTAACAATCAAGTGACATAACCTTAAACTCAACGTCTTGAATGAAATACGGAGATAATGAACAGTATTCATGCTAAAATGTCCATTCAAACAATACAAATCAGGAGCAAAGCAGACACGGACCTCTAAAATATCAGAGGTGGGATCAGGTACCACGGAGGAGTGAGAATCGCCTGCCGAACGGTTTCAACCGCCGTGTGCTCCTTGTCATGATCGGAAAAAATCCGTAGACAATTCAGTGTGTAAAAAATAGTTAAAAATTAGTCTAAAAAACATCAGTCAGCATTTTACTTAACAATGATAGACTGTATTTGCTGACAATTTCAAAGACCGTCAAGGTAGCTCAGTCGGTGTATAAAGGTCGTTGGTTTGAGCGCCTGATGCGACACTCCTAAAATGATAAAACAAAATAGGTAGCAACTATTCCTTTGATAAGCACCAGGTACTTTGAAGGGAGGTAAAACTTCCATCGATCTATCATTTCCAGTTTCACAACCGCTATTATCATCAGTATATTGGTGTTCGATTTGGTAAAAAGTTGGAGCTGCTTACACCAAATCAAGGCATGTAGGTTTTGAAAGACTCTCAAGTGCAATGGGATCACGAATTTCATAAATAACATGAACAAACTTAGGGTAATCGGAGTCTAAACTTCAAATTGTTCAGGTGAAAGCAAATATATAAATATCAACGAAAAGAACACATTTATTTAATAATTCTGAAAAATAATGTGTGCATTACATTATGCCATGAGTTTTCCATGCTTTATGCGCATCGTTGTGGAACATTTGAGAAAGAAATAGAAATAGAACACTTCCAGAATGTCTTACGTGACTATGATTTTTATACCTGTAAGTTCTCTCATAATCTCTATGTCTTTTTCTCTAGAACTGATCGTAGCTCACGATCTTCTTTCTTGAATAGAGTGTTATGTTGTTTAGAATTTTTGAAGAGTTAACATTACTTATCGACCCCTGGGTCGAGGCCTCTGCTGGTGGACTGTTAGTCCCCGAGGGTCTCTACAGCCCAGTAACCTACACTTGGTACTAGCTTGAAAATACGGATATATGTTTAATTTCTGTGGTAAAATGTTTCAAAATTTATTTCAAAATTAAGGATTATCACCCTCATGCATAGCTCTGATCCTTCGACGTATTTGGCTCTAGTCTTTGGTACCTTTTTTCAGCTCTTCCAAGCCTTTTTTACTTAAATATTTTGAATACCCAACGTTTCGGCTTGAGCATTACTGAAGAGACACAATTTGTCAAAATGCGCATCTGGTGCATCAAAATTGGTACCGTATATGATTTAAATTATCAAAGATTTATTCTGGAAATTATAATACCAAAATCCGATGAACCAATTGTAAATAGACGTGACCTGAATCCAGGTGAGGTATTTACCTTGATCCGTCTTCGCTGCACACGACTGTGTTAAAAAGTGTCGTATTACAAACTTTTCAGGGTAGTTTTTCAGCAAGTTTGTGGGGTAATTTTTTCACTTAATGATTTTGTCGTATAATGACAGCACAAAACTTTTTTGTAAGTTTCTTTCCACAAAATTTTACATCATTTATATATCATTTGATATTTTTTTTCTATTGATGCACATTGACTAATATTGTTTCTTTTGACTAGTTCAGTTGTTGTCTCTCATAGGCTTTGGGGCGATTTTCAATTCTAACTTCATATAGTTTGTTGTCGAACACGTACGGGCAACATTTTTCGGCAGTTCCTTACAAAATGCTCCTACGTTTTGTTAATCCTTTGTGCGATAAAAAAATACCATTTTTTAATACTCCTTCGGCTACAGCAATTGCAGATAGACTATCGTCATCACATTCGATAACAGGAATGTTTAAATAATGCAGATTTTAGATATTGCCAATAAATTGATATATTCATCTTCATAACGTTTACTAACAGCAACGTCACAATGCTTTAAAAAAACTGGCTAAAAACTATTATGTTAGAGAGTTTCAACTTTTCTTACACCAGCAAAGAGCCATATTTCTAGAGCCCTGAGAACAGACAATCCACACTAGATGCCGCTATTTTTTATTTGAAATATTCTCACATTTATTCAGTGATTCAGCGCTATAAAATGTTTTTCATAATCAGCCTTCGATTACTTGATCTTTATTTTTTTTTATTTATCCTTACTTGTATTGGAATGAAGAGTGTGCTGGGATTGCACATTGAGTAACCATAGAGACCCCATCCATATGTGGTGTATTTCTTTGGTGAAGTCCATGCCAGTGGATGGACAGTCCATCAGAACCTTCCAATTTGTTGTGTACATTAACTACTATAGTGTCTCCTTCACATATCTATTAATATATATAAAAAAAAATTCTAAGTTAAGTTTTGGGTAACGTTGAAACACAAAAACAAATAGCAAAGATATCAGAATTTTGGTATTAAATTTGCTTCAAATTTAAGATTATTGCTGGAAATTCCAATTTAATTCTGATATGCCCATAAAAATGTGTTTGAAAGCTTTTTGCATTTTTCTTAAAGTATCTTTAAATATGAAGAAATCAAATGAAAGGATAAGATCTAGACCTCGTAGAGCAAAACACTTTTAAAATAATGCATTCATTTGACAATTTAGGAGTTATTTCACCAAGTTTATTCTGACATTAATTTCATTAGAGATGTTGAAAATAGAGATATGTTGAATTCAGTGTAATCGAGACTTACATGGATCCCGGGGCCAGGCACCATTCTGTTCACCGTGATTATCCCCCGTTTTGTTCCGTCCGCCGCCACACAGTGTGGACGAGCACAATCTGTGACGTTATGAGGACAGTTGAAGCAGGCTTTGGATAATGTGTGATAGTATTCCACAGTGAAGTTGTACTCACAAATCATCAAAATGTGACTGTCACATTTTCGGATGCATGGATGGTTTCTGTAATCTATAAAGAAAATAAAACAGTTAAACAGTTATTTGTCATGTCACATTTAACGATATCATATCCTTAGGAACCACGGACCAATGGTCTGACATTGGCTAGGGTTTATACACAGGTACATGATAAAATATGGAAAGAGGTTATATATATTTATACTTAATACTTAAACCAGAAGATTAATTTATTCTTGAAAGTCAGCTAATGTGTAAATCAAATACAAAATGAACAATCAAATGAAAGAAAGAAAAAACATATTTCATTTTAACTTTAAAGGGGTTTGGACAATGATTTCATGTAAATGTTTTCTAGTTTTCGGTAAGTTTCATACTAACATGTTGCTAGAGCATTTCAGACATATGGTGGCATATTTATGCCATCCACATATTTTTTTGTCAACATAAGATATCGCGTCAAGTCAAGATAGCTATCTCGTCAAATCAAGATAAGTTGCTGGTTTCGTCGAGATACTTCTATCTCGTCTAGTCAAGATAATCTATCACATTTTGTTGTGATAGCTATCTCGACATAACGAGATAATTTATCATGTATCATGACTAAAATTGTTGCGTTGACAAGTATTGACTCTTCATAATTGCAGTCACGATAACTGTATATGTACATGTACATTTACTAGTATATAAATAGATGACGTGTTCCGGGTGCCTCGGTCATTTTCCAATGAAATAGGCGGATACCTTCTATCAAATTGTTAGTTTAATAAGTATTGCAGGCATAATTTCGAAGAATTCAGTTTGAACCACTCTGTGTTCAAACCGTGTCTTTCCAGTAAAATAAAATACAAGTATGTGTGAACCAAACCAATAAGCTTTTAACTTTTAATTAGATATGATATTTGCAATTATTAACTCAATAAATTTACTATTCAATTAAATAAACTACTTTTTTGTTTATCAGAGATCAATACTTGGCTATAATATCATTATCGGTAGTTTTTAATAAATGATTGACTCTTTGCATTAATTGTTTTACTTATGCCATGCCAGTAACTAAGAAAAGACCAACAATGGAAATTATGAATTAAGTAAATGGGTTGTTTGTTTCATATTTAATAGAGATATTATTTTATATATTTTATTTTATGTTATGGAACAGTTTATATTCAAAAACCTTTATCTGTTAAAAATTATATTCCTCCAATAGACAAATACAAAGATTAAATTGGTTCACTAGCAGTGATGAATTTGACGAATAATTTCAATAAAAGAGATCCACATAGTTTCACTGGAAAACGACTGAGACACCCGTAACACGTCATCTATATAAATACATACATACATATACGAGTATACAGTTATCGTGACAGCAATTACAAAGAGGCAGTACTTGTCAATTTTAGTCATAATACAAGATAAATAATCTCGTCATGTCGAGATAGCTATTGCAAAAACATGTGATTGCTTATCTTGACTTGACGAGATAGAAGTCGGTATATCTCGACAAAACCAGCAACTGATCTTGACTTGACGTGATAGTTATCGTGACTTGACGCGATATCTTATGTTGACAAAATTTACCTGGATGGCATAAATATGCCACCATAGAGACATATATTATAGAAGCGTGTTTAGAAACTTGTTTTATCTGAAACTTATTAAAATTACGAACTACGGGATGCATTTGTTTGACACATATCCTTGCGCTTTCTTAACAAAATATCCTCATTATTTAAGAAAAGTTTGGAATATATTGTGTATTAATGAAAGATATTAAATCCTTACTCCAGAATATTCAGTGTAGAAATATGAGAAAGAAAAACCGAAACAGCAGTGTTGTCAGCTCGTGTTCAGTGATGTGTGCAGAGTAAAGAAAAAGAACACTCCCGATACAACGTAAACATTAACTATAATAGAGCTTGGGGTTAAAAATCACGAACAAAGATGTTTGGCCTAATATGATAAAGAATATCGTGGTCATTGAATTTTGCCAAAATTTCATGTAAGTTCATTTCATTAAACTGAAATTATTTTTTGAATAAAAATAGAAATTTACAACTAAGAAAACGGCAATGCAACTGTGTTCTGGCCCCTTGAAAAGGTATGCGAAACATATACAATATTTAATTACACTCTTTTCTAAGATAGTAGTCATTAAAAATGTTTAATTTGAACCTCATTAAGTCAATTTGATCTTTAAACCCATTCATTTCTCGTTAGAAACAACCTACGGCCTAAAATGGAGATGTATAATCCGGTAAAAAGAAATCAAGCGACATTTGATCCAATCTTTAACAGACGTATCCCTGCATTTATTTGTTATCTCTTCTTTACAAAGACTTACATTTCAACGGAAATAGAAGTAGATTGCTTTCAAATTGGTATATATCATAGCAATTTAAAATAATATCCATACTGGTAGAAAGAAAAATATTTTAAAATGGAATTAAAATATCATAAAAACTGTCAGAAAGGGCTTATTCTTAGTTAAAGCCTGTGATGCACAAAATTTCGCCAAAATTGTTAAAACCAGTGATAGTAAAAATATTTGAAGCATATTTTTTCATGGTAAGAGGTTGCAAAGAAATGAGGAGGTGTTGGGATGAAAAGGTTCTAGAAAGAAAAAAATAAAATTACTTGAATAAAATTCGAACCATTGTACTTGAGCGACTTTGATTTAGATTTCTATACATATTTGTATTTGTCTTTTTATCTCCTTCTCAGGGTTTCTGTACCGTATAGAAAAAGCTATCTTTTAAAAACCTTTCGATTACGAAGTATTTTGTAATTATTAGCCGTTCATTCTTTTCCTCTTTCCCATAATAATAATAATTTTGTGATTATATCAGAAGAAGAAAAAATCATCATTAAGTAGATGAAATATGTGGAGATAACGAACAGTATTCGAGCTCAAAAGTCCATTAAACATCACAAAATAGGAGTAGAGCAAACACGGGCCTCTAAGACATCAGAGGTGGGATCAGGTGCCATGGAGGAGTGAGCATCCCCGCCTTGTGCTCTTGACATGATTAGAAAATAACGGAAAAATCCGTCGACAAATTAGTGTGTAAATAATGGCCTAACAATAAGTATGAAACAAGTCAGTCAGCATTTGACTCCATGAAAGATTGTATTTGCTGGCAAGGTCATTGTATCGACCATAGAACTTACGAAATGATGACTTTAAACGAGACTGCTGATACTCTTGTTTCATCAACTTGTTTGTCAATAATTTACCTCGTTTTAGAAATTGTTCATACGTAGAGCATGCCCTTTAAGTATCGAATCAATTGAGAGATATAAACCCCGTATGCATGTGATGAGGGTATATTGCTGCACAAGTAAATATAAAATTATTGTTGTTGTCTTAATACTCACGCATTGTTTTGTTTCCGTACTGTGGAATCATTTTATTTCGTGGGGGTCAATGTTCGTAGGCAAGCAAATTTTATCTTGTTCGTGGGGACGTAATTTCGTGGATTACTCGTTTATACGGTAAATTCAATGAATCAATATGTTTACGAAATAAATGTTCGTGGGAATGTAAATTCGTGGGTATGGGTGACCTACGAAATCCACTAACATTGGTCCCCCACGAACAAAGATGGTTCAACAGTATATGGAAACCGATTATGAGGTCACCAATTTTTTTTAATTCCCTTTGTTCCATGGTAACCAATGTTTCAATTTTTCTTATTTTCAGAATCGTCACCACCTTGGCTGATTAGAAAAATACACTTCACTTTTATGCCAAAATATATGTCAAATGTTACGAATTAATTCACTTTAAGTTTATCAAACTCACCCAGAACAGGTTTTTAAACATCACCTGATGAAAGCACGATGTTTTTTCAATATATGTCCACAGATATTTCCTTGGCCAGGTGATTTGTTTAAGCCACTATTATTTTATATTATTTAGTCATTCATTTAAGTCGTATATCCTTATATAGTTCATTGATTACTTGTTCAGATCTCATTTAGAGCAGCACATAAAATGTGATAGAAATTGGAATGAAAGAAATCTATCATGACATGGCATAAGACCAGAATAGTTTTTCTTCTTCTATTTTTTTTTTGGCTTGCGTGCGGGTAGCTTTTATATTCCCGTTTTCAAGCAACAGCTTTGAGATATATGTAAGGCAACAATTACGAATGAGTGGATTCAAGACTGGATTGTAACTTAAACAAATTAAAAGTTACCTTCGAAATCATGTCTGTATCAACATTGAGCTAACATAAGGATATCTACTGTTGAAGTCTATTTTTGTTTTTTGTCATTATGATAATATACCTGTAGTTGCAAAAGTTAACAGGGTAAAATCCACGGTTTGGGATAAGTGTGTCATGAACGGAGTATCGGGACTTATGAACTAAATCATTGACATTTTGATTTTTTTCTTTTTTCGTGATGGCTGCTAACTTTTCAAAATTAACACAATACAAAAAAATAACATCCCAATCTTAGGTCTTGAACTAACTTGTTGACAAATTAATATTATAAAGTGATGAGTATGAAACATTTTATTTTTTATTTTTTTTTAAACGTGAAACATATTAACATACCTTCGAATATTCCATAACATGCCACATTCACTACATAAAAGCTAGAAAATAATAAAACTCCCTTCAGCATTTTTATACGGTTAAATTGTGACACATTTGTTCTTGAAAATAGAATAAATGAACACCCTGGGTTAAGTTATGACTGCTTAAACAGTAAACAGGGTCTATTCCCTACTTTGGTAGTGGAAACAGAACAAGGTAACGCATATTCAAGTAATGTTCCACACTTCTGCACGTCTGTGAAAAAAAAAACATACCTATACAAGACATCTTTAAATATTCATTGGAGTTTAATTTTATTATCCGTGTCCTTTCATTTTTGTTACCTAATTGCTTCAGTGAATGTATTCAATTTGATTATGCAATGCTTTTATTCTTGCTTGCGATTTTCTGCATTAAGACTGAATTTTGCACTATTTCACTTTTAAATTTCAGCACAGCAAGTTGTCCGAATTGTTCATGTTGACAGGTTAAAGCCTTATATTAGTCGAGAGGAAAGTCTTGAGAGTCAAGAAGCTTTAACTTAAAATTATGTGAAAGAAGATGCTACTGATACACCATTCGTTTCATTATTATTGACCCTATTACTGCTTCGTACGTTGAGTACAACACAGAGACCGTTAACGGTAACGACGCTGCGGTTTCGGAAGATCAAAAGGTAGACCGCGAAACGACCAGCTGATGTCAAAGGCGTTGCCGACAGCTGAGGCACTTTGAAGATTTTTAGCTGTATCATGTGACTGAATTAGACAAAACATCAAAGACAAAACTGTCCCTTCTTCTCATTTGCAGTCTTGCAATCGAATGGCAAGGACGAAGAATACAGTAAGAAAAGTAACCGATATGCATAAATGTCCCTTTGTATAGAAATGTTCCAGAGTCCTGCAGAAGTTTTAGAACATATTGGCCGAAAACACGACAAAAGAATCAAGTGTTACCACTGTGAATATTCCTCAGAGAGAACTGCCGATATGAAGAGACATTACGAACGCCGACATTCCACACACGCCGACCAGGAGAAACCGAAGCAAAGTCCTGAGGAAGACGGTACAACCGGCACCGCACTCAGCCGATACCTGTCTTTAATCCTAAGAGGGACAAACCAGCTCCACACAACCATGGAAAGACATCTGCAAGTTATCAATCGGGGACAGGGTTCCTATATAAGGATGCCACAATATTATGCCGCCGAGAGACCTCGAACGTGTGTGATGAGTTTACCCAGTGCAATGGAGTTGTCGTTAGAAAAAGACGAATTTCGGAGAATTTAATTGATGTGATGGTGGAACATTCAGTGACAATGTGAACATTTCATTAACTTTTTAAATTGTGACAATATTTTCATTTTTTTTTTTTTTTTTTTGCGATTCGGGACGAATCTCTAGGAGGCGGGGGTTGTGTTATGGACTTTCAAAATAATGACTTTTAATTTGATAACTTGTTTATTTTTTATGTTTATTTTCAGCTATGATTGTCTTTCTTTGTTACAATGTATAGATTTGCTTCAATTTTGATAATATCACGTGATCATTATACATATATATAAACCATGATTTCTTTTATAATTGTCAGTGTATTGGTTTTCATGGTTCTGAATAAGAACTAAAGTTCCTGAATAAGAAAATACAAATAGATGCTAAGAAAGTCCTGTATAAGGCAAATATTTCTGAATAAGGAAGGGAAAAAATTCTCAACCTGAATATGGTTACAAAACATGCATTTGCAGTGCTGACGCCATATTGTTTGTTGACGATAGACTTCCAATAAATTATATAAATCTACAATATCTTTTATTTCGCAAACGAACCCCGTAACAATACATTTAATTTTGTTATTAATTGTAAATAAGCATTTGGCAAAGACCTTCATCTCTTTCAGAAGCACAAAACAGAATAAAATTAAAGATGATCGTATTGTTACAAAATCTGTCTAGTAGTAAGCTTATTAGTAAGATTTAAGCTCTTTGAAAAGGATCATTTAATAGATATTATCGAATAGTTTTAGCCCTGCTAATGATCAGTGAATTTCCAATTTCCACACTTTGGAAAGTTGTTTGGTGATTTTGGCATTTGGCCAATTTCTCCAACTTGTAGAACCAGCCCCATTCCTACCTCAGCATGAAAGTCAATATGGCAGTGGAAAAACCAGAAACCTATAATATACGAATACGCCTGTATGTTGATGAAAAATAATCTGGACAAAATTAGTGTGGTTATTTGATCAAACGGAAATACTATTTCATTTTTACATATCGAAATATTTATCTTTTTAAGATTAAAAGGACATAAATCACAATTTAAACCATTAATCCTAAAGATCAGTTTCCATGAATTTATGTTAAGATGAAGGTTGAGTTATTTTTTCATAGAGTGCTAAGTATATTTTTTAAAAGCCCTATCCAAGAAATAAAAATTGTTGAATCGTCATACCTGGATTGGTGGCGTGTATTCGGAGAATCGCGTAACCACCGTCGGGGATCGTAACAGTGTCCTTAATGACAGACCTGTTTAGATTTCTGGTAATGTTCCCAGCAGCGTCTAATTTCTTGACCTCTTGGAGTGTTGTAGATCTGTCGATCTGGGTACAGATTCATTAAAGAAACACATGAAACAAATAAGTTACTGACATTTGGGGTAATAATTTGAAAAAGAATCCGCTTAAAGATAGAAAAAGAATCCAGATAGAGATGTATATTTTACAATCGTTCTTATTCTGGAAATCATTGATAACGAATAAAATAACCTCAACAATCATTCAGAACAACAAAGTGTGCAGGGTTTTCTTCTTTCTTTTTTTTTTTTTTTTTTTTTTGGTCTCTTACCTTTCCCATACCGACTACTCTATAACTGTTGCCGTGGAGATGCATGGGGTGATTAGCATCAAAGGTTTTACCTTCATCTACTATCACAAACTCTACCACATCACCTAGACGGACTTTTTCTACATAGACACATTCACAATATTCAGACGAACAATTACGCCCACCAACTGTAGCATTACACAGCATATCCTAGACAAAAAGTATAGCAAAACACATGTAAACTGTTCAATAAACAGAATAGAAATCACTTAGAATCGGATGTATTGTATAGTACAGGCTATATGTTTTTCAATGGTGAAATGAATACATGTGTCGTCTTTATGGTTTGGTTTATTTGCTGAATACATTAATTATTTTATCTCTGCAGTCTTGGCATACAGGGCCTAAATTACTGGTACTTTTTGTACTGGTTAGACGACAAAACACGAAACATCAGGCATTATGCATTTTCAGAATATGATACGAAACTGTGAGCTTGAGAGAGCTAGAAGCAAGCATACCTCTGGAATGTCTTTGAATTGTGTAAGTGGTGGTGATGGGGGTAGAATTGTAGATATGTAATTGATCTGTGGCAGATACAAATGTTGGGATCTTTCCACTGCAGAAATAGGGTATAGCACTGGATCATGGAACCTGTAGTTGTCGATCTTGTTGAAATCCATGGACATATAAATGGTTTTATCTGGAGTTTTTGACAGGGCTTTATCATTGTCAAGAAGAGAAACTAATCTGGTGACGGGGATCAGATCCTTAGTTTCAGCTTTGTTATAGGGATTTAATAACTGTATCATAATTTAAAACCGAGTCAATATAATGCCATAAAGATTGTATATTTGTAAGTATAAATAGTAACTTTAGTGATCATAAATTCTCAGACTACATTCTCAGAAATAATATTAAAATATGACTTTTAAATTTAAACTACCTTTCCAGCACGAAGCCCTGCATTGTACCCTGTAGGTTGTTTAGGCTGGTTATCTGTAGCTCCCTGATAATGTAGAATGGCCTCTTGGTGTGCTTTTTTTACTGCACAGCCTGCTTCACCTCGTGCTCGAATCCAGTAGTTGTCAACAGACTGGGTAGTATGGAGTACAATATCATATCGTTCACCAGCAAACACGTTTAGTGATTCCACCGTGATAGGTTGCACTGGGTAACCGTCAGTAGCTATGACGATGAGGGTATGATTGTCTATAGAGAACTGGATGGGACAGTTCAGTAACCCATTGCTTATCAAGCGGATCCTGTAACGTTTTCCTTGCTCTACGGTAAGCGTCTCGGGAGGGGTGTGGATTTTGCTGTTACTATGTGGTGTGGGAGGAACATAATTTGTGTTCTTTCCTGGATAAAATGGAAACATTTTAAATTACATTTAAACAGTGAGAAGACAAATAGACTGCTGTATTTTATTACATATGACGAAATATAAGGATCCATAGTGTGGAAATTTGTGTTTGGCAGTGCCAGCGATTGTTTTAAGAAATATTTTTTTAATATATTATTTCATCTTTTATTTCGTTTTTCTCAGATTTCAAGAATCCCTGCATATCCAATCATTTTTTTAAGAAATAAAAATAGAGAAAAGCATAGCTTATGATAAGAATCATCCTATAAAGTTTACCATGGCTAGTTTCGTTGTGATCGTTGTGTTGATTGCTGAACTTCAGATATGACCCTTTCCCTGAATAATGGAACATAAACCAATGTATTGGTATACATCAATTTCAAAAATATCTAGTGCTAGTAATACCAATACTGGTCTGAGAGTCAATTTAGATTTTATATTCTATTTTTGATAATATAGCATGCTGTAATTGAAAACAAGAGACTTAAGGTTCAAAGTTCTCATACCATTGATAAGCATGGAATCAGGTTTGTTGTCGCCACCTGCGTGATGGTGTCTGGTGAATCTATTGATTGCTAGTTCATCCAACCAATCGTTTATGATTATGGTATGTTCTGGTAAATCATGGTCGTAGAGTCCAAAATGAGGCTCATTATCATCTGTCTGACGGATGACAAGAGCTCCAAAAACTCCGTCCATTCTCTGAAGTCCGGAATGAGAGTGCCAAAAGTAAGTTCCTGGGAAGTCAGGCTTGAACCTTTATAATGTAACAAGTTTTTTTGTCAATTACGATGTTTACATTATTTTTAATCTATAGTGTGTTGCTTTATCGGTGCTAAAATATTAGGAAAATAATATGACATAATGAAATAAATATCCATGACCTGTACTGAAATGAAGAATACGTTGGAATAGCACATTGAGTAAGCATGGGAACCCCGTCCATGTGTGGAGTCAGACGCTGCGAAATTCCGTGCCAATGTATTGTCAATCCATCGGAGCCCTCTAGTCGATTATACACATTCACTACTATCGTGTCATTTTGACATATCTGTAAATATCATAGCATATATTCCTTTTGAACGTGTTTCACATTTTTTTCATCACAGAATAAATAGGCTCTAAGATGCATATATTATATAAAAGAAACGTCGACAAGTTTGATAGGAATATAGATGCAAAATAAGTTTCTTTTTTAAGATATTTTTTTCTTCGTTTTTTGCATTTCTATATCTGTATATAGGGTGACTGTTACTAAAAATAAATATTGTCTGATGAATTTAATGTTTCAGAGGAAGATATTTCCCTATACAATAACTTTCACTTAGTTAAGGAATAAATTTAATAGCTATCCAGGCTGCATGGGTTGGGGCAGTATACGCTTTATGAACCATGCAGCAGTTTATAAAAATGCATGAGTATAACTTGGGTAGCTATTAAATTTATTCTTCATAATTCAATTTTCTTTTTTAAGTGTAAGAATAGAAGTAAATTTCTCTTTTAAAAATGCCTTCATATTGTACATATTTTAAGTTTAACGTCAAGCGGATTGATACTTTTTTTCGTAAGTCACTGAGACGTAAGCAAAATGTAATTTGGGTGATTTAGGTGATTTGCACGAATTTTCCCATCCAATCAAATAGTGTGTTACAACCAGAATTAAATCATGTTAAAACAAATGGAAATGCAGAATAAAAACCAGATCATACAAACCCTTGCTCAGTCAATATAGATATGATCACTGGTCTGGGTCTGTTAATTATCACTGTGACTTACATGGATCCCGGGGCCAGGCACCATTCTGTTCACCGTGATTATCCCCCTTTTAGTTCCGTCCGCCGCCACACAGTGTGGACGTGCACAATCTGTGACGTTGTGTGGACAATTGAAGCATGCTTTGGATAATGTGTGATAGTATTCCACGGTAAAGTTGTACTCGCACGTCATCTGAACACTACTGTTACATTTTCTGATGCATGGGTGATTCCTATAATCTACAAAGATACAGTTTTCATTCTATTTCATCATTCACTATTAATAATTCTGACGAATACAGTGTAATAGTAATTATTAGTATAATCAGTGTTATTAAACCATTGATTACAATTATTCTGTATAAAAATGGACAATGGAGATAATTTTAGCCTAGGACATGTTTCACTCTTATTTTTGTTTAATTTCTAGGACCTGCATGTTTGAAATCATATTCTTAAAATGTGTTTCATTTGTTTACATAAAAAAGAAAATATGTCTATAACACATTTAAATAAAAATAAACCATAGTTGATACATCCTGTAGATAAAATAAAATATATCATACAAAGGTTTCCTTTGGTGTATAATAAATGCTTATTTTTCATTGATGAGGTTGCATTATCGTAAGTTTTGATTTAAAATATATTCAAATTCAAAAAAGGATAAACCTTTTTAACATTTCATTTACTTTTTTAATCTACTCGACAATTTTCCTAATATAAAACTGTGACTTTATCAAATTTTAGAATATACCTTGCTGTGCCTCTGGTATACGAGTACGTGCTGCGAATTATATAATGTTCCGACCTTGAGATGCGTGTACAGATTATGATAACCTTGAAATAAATTTGTTACTTTGATTTATAAAGTTCTTATCACCTGATGCACCTTTTAGATTGAACATATATCTGATACGGTATTAAAGTAAAGCAATCTTCATAAGAATCATCAACCTATGTGTCCAAAAAAAATCGTTTGAGTTTAGGTTTAAATATCAAAATTCAGCTTAACTCACTGTTCATGAACACTGTTGTTGTGACTTGATTTCATCAATCACTGTATGTTGTTTAAAACTTGGTTTAAATTACCACAATCATTATCAGAAATCTTGATGCTTAAATTGCAATTAGGTAAATATTTAAGCTTTGTACACGTTTGTGTTACCTTCTCAAAAACGCATTTTTTTTGCATTTAATCATTCATCTTGCGAAATTAAAAAAGATAAGACAAAGGAAGCATTCTAAGTTATTTATTTAATTAATATCAAAAAATAGGTAAAAATCAAAATCAGATTGATACTGTTTTGACATGATCAGGAGCAAATACATATGTAGCTGCAGAACTGTAGCTGTCCGAAAAAATCGGGGGTCATTGATCGTCCATCTCAATTTTTTCAGACCAGTGAGCCTAAGGTCTGCAGTTGGTACATATGTTGCTCAAGGTTTTCAAATGTCAAAGTCGAATGTCATGATTGGTGAAAAAAGTTTACTTTTCTTGTTCTAACACAAAACTTAAAAAGTTACTTTCACATTCAACTTTGTTCAGGCAAACCTCTGCTTGTGAGAGTACCGATTTTACAGAGCACACAACGTTTGACAAATAACTGTCATTAATACGTTATACATGTTTCCGAAAATTTTTTGTGACATATGTATGTTTAAGAATGGTTTGAAAACATTAATTTTATTGAATATACTTGATCTGAATGCATCATACAAGAAATAATTTTTGTATATTAAAGTCATTTTTATATTTAAATATTTCAGAATTAAGGATTATATGCTTTGAATATGAAGAATCCGTACCTTCTAACTGATGGTTGCACATCACAAATAATACTGGAGAGCTAACAAAGAGAACCAAGACTCGTAACATTTTGGACACTGGCGACCAGGGTATTGTTTCCTCGACAAACTTTTACAAAGCCACCCAAAAGAATGGATCATCGAGGTCCTATAATGAGATACTGGTTTCTTCTTTCAAACTGATCCTGGATATATGCTATGTTTGCATTTATACCTTGCTACAAAGACATGTGGACGAATCATAGACGGGAATAGCTCCTCTAGCACAATTCAGTTTTTTTTTTTTTTTTTTTTTTTTTTAAAATAAGGTGTTACATTCATGACTGTATGATTATTTTTTAATGCAACTGCTTACTCTTCGTGTTAAAATCAAAAACATGTATATTTATCTTTCAACTAAAAGTCATGTCACAACAAAAGAATTGTTCTATGATAATCATAAGCGATAACATCATGGAAAGTATTAGGATAAAGAACAAAGATCAAGATCAACAGCGAATAATTCATTAAAAAAAAATTCAAAATACAAAATAAATAATATGTTCATGAAACATTTTACAATCAATGTTACTTTGGCAACCAGTACCTTTTACAAGAAATCAAACTACATGTATCTTCGATGTCAGAAAGTTTAATCATCTTATTTTGTCTTTTTTTTAAGAAAAAAAAACATAATTGATGTATCTTTCCTAAAAAATCCGTCATAATAGAATTTTAAATTAGTTTTCGAACAATGATATCATTAAGGTGAAATGAGAGATAATCTAACATTGGAAATCACTGCTTCAAGATAAGTTACAAAGGTTTTCTTTGCTTTCTTGTTTATTAACGTCCCTTCAAGATTTTTTCACTCATACTGAGATCCACCACTTGCCAGTGGAGAGTTGAAAATTTAGACCTATACTCGGCTCTTACGGCCTTTGAGCAGTGATGGATCTTTTTTTCGTGCCAGCACCTACTGCGACACGGGGCCTCGGTTTATGCGGTCTCCTTCGAAGACAGGTCTCCACCTCCCGCAGTTGGATTCGAACCCGCGATGTAAGGATTAACTCCTTACTCCTTACTAGAGCAAACACTCTAACCACTGCCTCACAAGGGCGACAAGTTGCAAAGGTATGTGCACTTTTTATTATTATTTTTAGTATTACATACATGTATTTTTATATTAATCTGAATAAATTGTATTGAGAGAACCCGGGCTTTTACAGTTATATCAGTCCACACTCTTAATGACCAAAGACTCAAAGAGATTAGTAGTAGTAAAAGTTTATCGACTGATTGACAAGAAATATTCGAAATATTCACGCTTCAGCTTAGTCCGTTTTACAGGACATACCTACCATTATTCAGTCAATACCTTATCATGTACTAAGTACGCCAATAAATTTTTTCCTATTACCAAAAGGAGGGCTACAAGACAAGGACAATCCTCTCAAAGCCATTCCCTTTTTCAATTTTCAAAGTTGAAAGACAAATAGATGTGTTGTCGGTAATTTCATCCTCAACATATTTGATTCCTTTGATTTACTGAAGTACTTGTAGTGTGCATAATAAAGAGAATAAGGAATGTCAGTATTCTAGTTTTATTGCCATGCATTTGATAAGTGTTTTTCTTATGTAAAGGTCGAAGATATCTGGGGTATTATTTTCAATACAATGATAATGTCATACAATGAATATGGAGATAACGAACACTATTCAAGCTCAAAGACCATTTAAAAATACAAATATGTTGCAGAGCAAACGCGGACCTCCAAAATCATCAGAATTGTGATCAGGTGTCATGGAGGAGTGAGCATCCCCTGCTGACCGGTCTCACCCGCCGTGTGCTCTTTGTTATGTTCAAGAAAACGGAAAATCTGTAAACAAGTCAATGTGTGAATAATGGCCTAACAATTAGTATGAAAAACGTCAGTCAGCATTTGACTTAATGATAGATTGTATATGCTGACAAAGTCAATGTATCGACCGTAAAACTTGCGAAATGATGACTTCAAACGTGACTGTTGATATCCTTGTTTCATCAACTTGTTTGTCAGTAGTTTGCCTCGTTTTAGAAATTGTTCATACGTAGAGCATGCTCTTGCGTATCGAATCCACTGTGAGACATAAACCCCATATACAGGTGATAAGGGTATATTGCTACATAAGTAAGGAAAGTTGACGATTGAGAAGTTCAAGTCATCACGTTTAACAAAAAGCTTGGTCGTTAGGTTACCATTAACGTCTTTTTCTACTAAAGTATCCAAATATGAAACAGATGTGTCAGACTCTGTGGTATCTTTTATTTCAAGCTCACTGGGATATATCGAGTCGACATATGAATGAAAGTAACTATTGATTATTGCTAATAAGTGGTCGATATAACTAAATGTCCAGTTGAAGGCCACAGCAAGTGTTTTCTTCTTCTCATGTAGAAGTTTTTGAATAAATTCTACTTCATATGAATACAAAAATATGGTCTGCTAATAAGGGGGCGCAATTGGTAACCATGGGAATTCCAACAGATTGTTGGAAGACCTGATCTCCAAAAACTAATAGATATTGTCAATCAGAAACTCAAGCATCTTTTTAATGTCAACTTCAGAGTACTTGTGTGTACAATCAGAAAGCTTTTTTAACAAAATAATTTTGCAAATGACCAATGACAAGGTAAGTATATTTACGAGTTCCATTTTTATTGAAAATGCAGCTGTCTATGATGTCAAAAAGCCTGGACTTCAATTTATCGTGTGGAATGGTTGTATAAAGTGTTGAAAAGTCGTACGTTTTTGGTGTTATTGATGTAAGTAAATTTTGTGATTTAAAATTTTCTAAAAGTTCTTTAGAGTTTTTAAGTATTCACATCTGATTTAGACCACTTCTCGAATATACATACCCTTCATTACAGTAAATATTTAAGTGAGGAGTAAAGAAAGAGGCTTGGTAGAACATTTACTGGAACCCGATATGTATCTTTGTTTGTAAAGATTTTTATGAAGTTTAGGAATCCAGTAAAGGTATGGTAATTCAAATTCATTTTGATTGTTGGGAATATTAAAAATCTCTAAAACGGACATATGATTTTGAAGAATTTCATCCTTAGAAAGAGAGCTATGGGTATAAGTTGGATTTCCACCTGCAGAATTAAATCCTAGTTCCTCTAGAATACAATTCAAATAATGAGCCTTACAAACAAGACTAAGTTGTTACCAGCTTTGTCAGCTGGGACCAGTACATACTGATCGTGTAATCTAATTCCTTTTTCACTTCTGAATTATTAAAGACAGAAGGATAAATAGTTCAAAGTTCGCCTAATGCGAGATTTCAACATCCATCTGATGCTCTTATTCCATTCTGACAAAGTATCAAGGTTTTCTTTTTCGTGTTTGGCCCATCGCCTGGCGTAATCTTCCACAGAATTCATAATATTTATAAAATTACGACGCCAGTTGAAAGAACGGGGTTCCCTAAATTTTGGCCCTTTTAAAATAAGGGACTTAAGGTCCTCATTATTAACCATGTTTACATCACCAGTAATGATGTGTCCAGCAGGACTATTGTTGTAGGGTGCAGAAGAACATGAACATGTAGGAGGATTATGTGTCAGATGTTCGATATCTAGGCACTGTAGATTTTCCTTGTAATTAAAAAGTTTGGAAGCAATAGTCGATGTATATTTATTATAAAATACAAGGCGTGGACTTCAACTTGAAATATGTTGGAATAAAAGACTGGACCCTTTTGTGATTAAGAATATTTCTAATATTAACTGCGTCGATTCCTTTCTTTGCAAATTGAAGCTTAAGGAACAAATGGGTTGTTTGAGCAGTATTATCTTCCTTCAAACGTGGCGGTTTACCATGGAAAGTGCTATTCATCAGTGTCTTTAGGGCACCCCTAAAGATGAGTTTGCTAAGGTTTTCTGGTCATGGGTACAAAAACTTTAGACATGTGTAAATGTTCAAAGGGAATGCTTTGAGAGATTGAAAGCATTGAAAATTTGCTTTACGTGCTTTTCCTATTTCTAGATGACCTTTTGCTTTATTTATTGAACGACCCTCGTATTAAAACTGTCGAACTTTGTACAATATTTCTTTCAGCCTATAAATTCATGAGCATTTGAACATGGTGGTGCCAATCGATGAATTGTACTCGTAAAATACATGAAAAAAGACCCAAAAGCATATATTACCTAATATATATGTATTAAAATAAAATTAGTAGTAGATTTCTATTAAATATTTCGATTAGGATCCAAATTGAATCATTTAACTAGTATTTAAAAGGTTTTAACTTTTAAAATATGACCAATATTGAGAGTGCATTGAACCAAAATGATAAATTTAATAATTAAAAAATATGATTGTACTGTTCCACATTTCTGTAGAAGTTTTATGTATATATCAATAACGAGTTTAGTCCATACAACACAAACAAAACAACCATAGGCGCGTATTGTACTCTCCTGGCACTGTTCACAGGGCATACCGCCTCTTCCTCTACGTCAGTCGTATATATCCAGTTTCCACATTCTGGAAAATTATATGGTGGTTTTGGCATCTGGTTAATTTCTCCGACTTGTAGAATAATACCCATTCCTATTTCGGCGTGGAAATCAATATGGCAATGGAAAAACCAGAAACCTAATGCAAAATAAGAAATAAAAATATTTCGTTTGAGAAATATTTATTTGTTCTACGAAAGCAAAGGATATCTATAATATTCATATGTCTAACTATTCAAGAGCTGCTTTCAGAAGAAGAAAAAAATTGATAACGCACGTTGAGCTAAAGGTAAATGAAGGTGCTAGTATGCATGTCAATTTTACACTTAAAATTGGAAAACTATTTCAATTGTACGTAAACCTGAATTTTTATACTTGGACTGTTTGTGTGTATACGTGTTAAAGATGTGTGTATACGTGTTATAGATGAACCTAAATCATCCTGGCTGAATTGGTACTGCGCATGTGCTACACATGAACCTTATTTTATTTTGATTGGTAGTGTGTATGCGTATTATCTGATTTATCTATTATGTAATTATCAATTACACCACATTAGTACATATGGCCTGGCTTCAATATCCTAAACTAAGCATAGATTTGTTTTTATCTTTTTAATTTTATTTTCATTTTTTTTTTTATTATTATTATTATTATTATTATTATTATTATTTTGTTATTCTGAATATCTTAATTTTAATTTCACATAATTCTTTTTTCGGATATTGGAAGTTTTTATAATATTTAAATACAAAAAAATTATGGATTTTTTTTTTTATCTCGTTTGAATATTAAAATGATTTTTAGAAATATTTTGACTTAAATCTGTTCTCAGTCTTTGTTTTTGACGCCTGAAACATTTTACCGACATCTTTGGCATACATGCGTACTATATGTGACTTACATTATCTTAACTGAATTTGAATTGGTAATACCCGTTACATAGGGACCAGAATGTTAATACTCTGTTGATGGAACACCTTCGAATTATTCATTAACCTAAGTTATGCAGTCCTGATTTAAGGCGTGTATTCCTTCTTCATGACCTGACATTACCTTACCCGGATTGCTACATGTAAGTGTATTGAAGATTAGACAGGCCCCAGGATCATGAAACAAACTAAGACTTAAGGTATGTCACTCGTGAAACTAGTTATGTCAAGGATTTTTTAAGTAGTATATTTTTGATAAGTACTCATCTAGAATGACTGAAGATCGGAAAGAAAATTGGTGGTGGTGGTGGGGGGGGGGGGGGGGGTCCAGTGTGCATCTTTTTGAGCAACGGTAAAATGAACTTGACCTCTTTGCAGTTAAATTGTAACTCTTGGGTTAACACTTTACATATGTAACCTTTATCATGTTATCGGGTAATCGTGGCAATAAATATAATCTTATTTTGCGTAAAGTAGTTTGAATAACATTTATAATTGGACAAATCATGCCAATTAATGCGCATAAATTATTGCGTGACCTTTTTGCACTTAAAAAGTATCATATTTGGGATATTTAAAATCTAAATAGGCAATAAAATATTTTCTTGTATCAAGTTTTTTTGTGGCTTAAGTGCTGATCGGTTGGAAACATCGTGTAGTTTAAAATAATGAAAGAAAAAGATCAGGCCAGTGATATGTGCGATTTTCAGGCAAAAATAATATAAAGGATGACTGCACTTAAGGACATGCGGAATTTGCGACAAAATAATCTTTCAAAACAAGCATTTTTCTTTTCATTGCAAGAATGATCAACATCCAATCTACAACTTTATGTAATTACGCTTAATAAAAGTGTGTATTTACGAAGTTCGAATCTGTTTTCAAAGGCAGGGGTCATCACAATTTCTTGAATCTCCGTTCAATAATGAGGACGCCCACTTTTTTACTGACTTTATACATAGTCAGCGCATGTTTGTCTGTTGTTCGCCGTTTAACAGTAGTTGTATATTTGCATAAATAATAATGTATCAAAAGGAGATTAATAGACAAACATGCGCTCATGGTTAAAAAGAGAAAAAAATGCTTCTTCTTACATTCGCTCTCTGTGTTGTAACCAAGGATTGTGACATGTTGAATATTATAATTCACCACGTGATTTCTTACTTCAGGTAACTTTGTGAATACTAAATTCCGACACGTGACTTGTAAGGAAGCATGTTTTGTGCTAACTAGGACATTGTGTTCGAACACATTAAGTCATCTGGCATTGATATAAAATCTGCTTTAATTACATTGACGTGCTCATATTGTTAATTTCGTTTTGAAACCTTTGTCAGAAGTGTATTTATGCCATACAGAATGGAGAGGAGATTGGAAAGAGTGATCACATTCGCTTTTTCAAACATGTCATTGTTATTTATCAGCTGTTTATGTAGTCTAATTTTAGAGCCATTCTTACAATGTTAGCTCCACCTCTCATGCATATCTAATGTTCAATCAAGGGCAGGTAAGTGTAAATTCACTATATTTGGAAAGCAGTAAGGACAAAAAACATTGAATCATTTTATTGTATCACAGTCTAAAATCATTTTAAGATTAAAATGTGCTTCCAAATTGACAGTATTCTTTCATAAACATACAAAAGTGAGATAAGGTTTAGACATAAAAGCAGCACAAGCAACCGAAAAAGACCCAAAAACAGGCGTTAAGTGCAGTCATCCTTTATCTTGACTTCTTCAATATATCTTCATTTCTTGGCAAAGTATGTTGCGTGAATGTGACAAATTTGCTCAAAAATATTAATTGATGCCTTTTTAAATATTCCTAGCATATAAAAACGGAAAATTGCTCTTAGTAAAAATACATAGGGCTGAAGTTCCAAGATATTGAAATAAACAAATGTGTACATTTGAAGAATTTTCTTCTAAATATCCTTCCACCATAAGAAATGGGACCCTATAAATCTTGTTTCTTTATGATTTTGTGACCAGTTTTTAAATTAAATGTTCTATAATTTCCATTGTATATAAATCAAATATGTTCTAAAAATTGAATTTTAATAAATAGTTTTGAAGTGAGAGGTTCCGACTGAACTTTTCTTAAAAGCTGACGAATGACATACCTACTCTTAATTTACAGACAACAACAGCTTGATGACGCAGCTAGTGTTAAATTCATTTTTATTTTGGACTGTTTGGCTTCAAAAACATTTCAGCACAATAAACAAATTTTGACTTAAGCTTAAGATGTTTCATGATCCCGGGGCCTGGATTATCTGACTCTGATAGGTGTAGCTAAATTAGATCACCTGGATTCGTAGCGTGTATGCGGAGAATGGTGTATCCACCATCTGGTACAGTTACTGTGTCTTTTTTAACCGACATATTCAAATTTCTGTAAATCTTTCCTGCAGCATCCAACTCCTTTACCTCTTGGAGGGTAGTAGATTGGTTTATCTGTGTATAATGTTAGGAGAATAAGAACTATTGGATATTAATTAGATTTAACGTTAACTTGAGTCACATTGCAAAAGACGTCTAGATAAATAAACCCAATAGACTCATTTGCAAAAATAAACTGATTGCATAATGAAGGATCATCGATGCAAAATAATATATTAATTATTCCATTAATATCCCGTCCATGTTTCCATTATGACGTCATGTCATGGTAGCTCAAAGAAGTGACTGTCTTATGTGCATTGTAATTATTTATGGGGATCCATCTGCACCCCACCCCACCCCCACCCCAAAAGAAAATAGAAAGTCCTTTATTCATATTTTTAACAATCAGAAATGATTTTCGAGCCACTGATACAAATAACATTTAATGTTATTTGTATCAGTGGCTCGAAAATCATTTCTGATTGATCTTACCTTCCCCATACCGATCACTCTGTAACTGAAGCCATGAAGATGCATGGGGTGATTGGCGTTAAAGGTTTTCCCTTCGTCCACTATGACAAACTCTACCACATCGCCGAGTTTGACCTTTTTAATGTGGACACATTCACAAAATTCGAACGAGCAGTTACGGTCGTCATCCATAGAATCACACATCAATTCCTGTTTACAATTCAAGCAACAATTATTTTTCAAACAAAATCTTACCAAACTTAACGTTTTTCGTATTTGTTTTTTAATTTGTACTGTAAATTTGCTTTGTATATAGTGTTGATTACATATGCCTTTGTTCATCTGAATAAATGTAAAACTTTCCTTTTTGTCATGTTGTGTATAAAGTGTGATCTATCAATTAAAAGTGTACCTTTTTGATACTTCTAAATGAAATTCCAGGCTTTTAAAAACTTTAACAAACGTTAAATGTACAATAAAAAGTCTCCATTCACCTCCGGGATGTCATTAAATTGTGTAAGGGGTGGTGCTGGGGGTAGCGTTGTCGATATATAGTTGATCTGGGGCAAGTATATATGCTTGGAGCTCTCCACTGCAGAAATGGGATACAGTATGGGATCGTGGAAATGGTAGTTGTCAATCTTGTTGAAGTCCATGGACATGTACACTGTTTTATCCGGAGTTTCCGATAGAGCCTCGTCATTTTCATCAAGTGATACCAGTTTCGTTACAGGAATTAGATCCCCAGTTTCTGCTTTGTTCCATGGATTTAGTTTCTATAATGGATGTTAAGTTTGTCAATTCCAATTTAAATATCAAAATCAGGCACATATTTTACTTATGATTTATTTTAAATGTATGGAACATCCTACCCTCATGTCAGGTTCTGCGTCAGCATTCGGAAGTAAAAATTGGTATTATAGATTTCTGTAGGTTTACGGTAAAGAATTCTACATGTAATATCTGTCGATGTTTGAAGTAAATATATTGCATTTAAGTGTATACAACTAAAACATATCAATATAAGAAAAAAAAAATAACTATATAGGCTGATGCTATTGCATGTAAAATTTATTTTGATAAGTAGAAGCATAACATCTTTTAAGTGGTCTTAGAAGGATTTCATTTTGTTTTCTCGTTGCAAGATCGATCAGATTACATGGGAATTTGAACCCCGGTTCCAGTTTGATATTGTTTGTTCAGAAATCTTTATATTTTACAATTAAAAGAGTTAACTGTTAATAGATCTAGCACTTGGCACAACCCAACATATACTGAGGGGAAAATTATACATTTTTATTACTTTTCCTGTCCGATGTCCTGCTTCATATCCTGTAGATAAATCTCGCTGATTTTCCGCAGCTCCTTGATAATGAAGAATGGCCTCTTGGTGTGCTTTTTTTACAGCACAGTCCGCTTCACCACGAATACGAATCCAGTATTTGTCAACGGACTGGGTAGTGTGGAGTACAATATCATATCGTTCACCAGCAAACACGTTAAGTGATTCCACCGTGATAGGTTGCACGGGAAAACCGTCAGTAGCTATGATGATGAGGCTATGATTGTCTATAGAGAACTGGATGGGACAGTTCAGTAACCCGTTGCTAATCAGACGGATTCTGTAGCGTCTACCTTGCTCCACTACCAATGTCTCCCGGGGTGTGTAGATTGTAGTGTTATGTAGATTTCTAAATTCCTGGAATGTTCCTTTACCTGAATTAATGAGCAATGATATATTTACTTTGGTGAGTTGGTTTGAATCATATGCTTTTTCAAGTCACCTAAGAAATGAAGTCCCCACGAACCATTAAAATTTTTGTTATCAACAATCACACCCACTAATTAAAACGATTCCACGATATTGATATAGCATCTGGTATGCTTTGTGCCTGTTACATGATGTTTTCATCTAACGAGTTGTGTAAAGTTTTCACACAACGATAAAAATTATATCAAACAAACCATGGGGTATTCTTTAACACGCGTTTTATACATAGCTATCACATGTTTTGGAATATTTCTATATTTGAAAATCCACTTTATATCACTTTCCCGAAAAAAAACCCATTGTGACACCACAACCATTGATATAAAATCTATATCATATGACCGATATCCACCGTGTAAATGAGCTACTATGCAAACGATTGATTCCTAGATTAAAATTCTAAGTCTAAAGATATTTATTTCACTACAAACGAGATATACCATTAATGAGCATGGAAGCGGGCTTGTTGTCTCCTCCTGCATGATGGTGATTGGCAAATCGATTGATTGCTAATTCCACCAACCAGTCGTTTATTATTAAAGTATGTTCCGGTAAATCATGATCATAAAGTCCAAGATGAGGCTCGGTGTTATCCGACTGACGGATCACAAGAGCTCCAAAAACTCCATCCATTCTCTGAAGCCCAGAATGAGAGTGCCAAAAGTAGGTTCCTGGGTTGTCAGGCTTGAACCTTCAATCAGTTGCAAAGTTTTCATTTGTTATGGACTTTATATTGGGTAATTTGGTTTTTGGCGAAGAAAAATTATTCGCCAAAACATAAAGCGCCAACATTTCCATCAAGTTTATTACAGTTATTATACAGAGCATTAAAAAATGAAAACACGCCAAAATATGAAACACCCATATTTTAACTCATATAATTATATTAAAATCGCAAATATTCCCGACATAAAAATTAACAAATATGAATATGGCATTTTCATTTGTATAATCTGATAGACCTTCAATAACTTCAAAAAATAAAAATGAATATAAAGGTAATCATTCTATTCTTACTTGTACTGAAATGAAGAGTGTGCTGGGATTGCACATTGAGTAACCATGGAGACCCCATCCATATGTGGTGTATTTCTTTGGTGAAGTCCATGCCAGTGAATGGACAGTCCATCAGAACCTTCCAATTTGTTGTGTACATTAACTACTATAGTGTCTCCTTGACACACCTTAAAAGACATCAACAATTTTAAACATGTAAGGAAAACAAAATATTTTAGAATTTATGTCTCTAATTTTTCTTTCTATATTTAAAATTACATGCTGGTTATCGAATATTCTTTTATTCAATCGACTGCATGATCTAGATTTAGATCTAGATCGATCAGTGTTCGGTAATCTACATCTTTCTCATTGTATCTCATGGGTTTCGTGATTTTATCGAATTTATCCTGAAATATGAAGAGAATACATATTCTTTACTCGGCCTGTTAATTTTAGTATAAAATACTGCATTTCTTTGACAATGAACAAGCAATGAACAAGCAAACTATTCACCAAGGTAATTCTGACACTAAATGCGTTGAATACAGTGATATCACTGTGACTTACATGGATCCCGGGGCCAGGCACCATTCTGTTCACCGTGATTATACCCCTTTTAGTTCCGTCCGCCGCCACACAGTGTGGACGTGCACAATCTGTGATGTTGTGTGGACAGTTGAAACATGCTTTGGATAATGTGTGATAGTATTCCACGGTAAAGTTGTACTCGCATGTCATTGAAATGTGGCTGTCACATTTTCTGATGCATGGATGTTTCCTGTAATCTACATAGGAAATAAAACATTCCATGACTTCTTTAAATTTTAATCGTAATATAAACTCCAAAATCAAAGGCCAGAAGTTTGATTTTGGTAAGGGTTGATACCACATGCCTCGCGGAGAACTTATTTGTTACTATCAATGAATGCGTATATAAATAACCATACTATCATTGATGAAAGAAGAAAGATCAGATATATGTATTTTTGTAGAGGTTTTACCTTAAGAAGGTATGTATAGCGTAATGATGTTAAATCTCATTATATTCTGAGACTAAAGGCACGAAAAAATCTAATATAACAAATATCTTCGATTTTATCTTAATAGCTTTTCATTTCTCCCTAGTAACTTTGCCAGGCAGAAAGGAGAAGAGGGGATAAGATATGAATGTGGTCCAATGATCAAAAGATGTTATCTGCATTTCTTTCTTATACCTTTCATAAATAGTCCTTAAAGGTGCTTAGACACAGATTTGAACTTAATATTTTCTCAAATTTTCTGTATAATATCATGACTTATATATTGCAATAGCATTTCACAAGAAAATATAATTAAAAACTTATTTTATCTGGAAATTATTGGAACTACGAATTCCGGGACGCGTTTGATTAACACATCTTTGCACATACACAAATTTTTACTTTATCCTTAATATTTAAGAAAAGAAGCGATTTTGTTATGTATTAATGAAAAATATTACATCTATAATCCAGAAAATTCAGAGTAGAAATGTTCGAAAGCAAAACCAAATCACCAGTATTGTCAGTCCGTGCTATGTGATGTGTACAGAGTTTAACAAATTGAACACATCCGTAAACTGTTTTTGTAAACAGGGCACGAGCTCTGTTATTGTTAATGTCCACTGAGCACGGACTTGCATAATACTGCGAGTGGGCTTTGCTTTCGAACATTTCTACTCTGAAATTTCTGGGTTATAGTTTTACTATTTTTCATTAATACACAACAAAATTGCCACTTTTCTTAAGTATTAAGAATAAAATCAAAATATTTCAAAGCGCAAGGATGTGTCAATCCAACGCGTCCAGAAATTCGAAGTTTTAATAACTTCGAGATGAAATAAGATTTTTATTATATTTTAGTATGAAATGCTATAGCAACAAATAAGTCATGAAATTATACACAAAATCTGAGAAAATATTAACTTCAAATCTGTGTCCAAGCACCTTTAATCTAGAAGCCACTTTATATGTAGAATATCGCTTTTTGTTGCACAATTTTGGTTAATTTTCGCTTTCGCTTCATTTTTTTTTTATTTTTCAGTTTGGTTGACAGCAAATGGTTTATGTGAATTAAAATTACATAAAACCAGTGGGAAAGCACTCATCATTGATAGGTAAATATCCTAAACGCGAAATTTTTTTAAATACTAGGAAGTTTTGAGGGGATCTTTGATTGGGGTCGTATTGGATTTCAGCACTCGTAAACCTTCATTCTCTGCTAAACTCTACTTAGGTTTTCTAGTTAAGTAAAGAATACATCTTACAAAATTCAGAACTTCCATAGAAAAAGGGAAAGCAAATGAATTACGTTTTGTTTTTGTAAGTATGGTAATCCAGCAAGTTTCTACTATTCGTCTGCGAAGTGTCTTATGTAGTCATTTGAGATTTCTCAACAATAAATACAAAATGTTTTAAAAGGGTCTCTGTACTATGCAGGAAAAGCCCATTGAACCCTTTGAAAACTTTTCGAATACGAATGTCCTCAAAGGCATTAATTGGCGGGTTGGAGTCCATCTTATACCCTTTCTTTTTTTTCTCCTTTAGCTGATACATCATTATTAGAAAATGAAGTATTTCAATAAGGATCATCATTTTTTATACATAGAATTACATTTCAAGAGTCATTCTCTGATTATCTTCTTTATAGAAGCCGTGACAAACATAGTCAGAGAATTTCCTAAGACTCGCTATGGTAAAAGTATAGAACTCATACCAGGCAAACATTTCTTGTTATATATCATGGTTACCAAGGCAATAGGCACGAAGGGGAAACGTAATTTACGTTACTAATAACTGTCACGAACACTCTATTTTGAAATATTCGCCCTTGTGAGCAATATACTTCTCGTGGCGTCTACACTCTCATAAACCACTCTTTACTAAGGGATGCATTTACATTCACAACTGCCCTTCTTATTTCTTCCTCTGAGTCAAATTTCTGTCCTTGCAAGGTGGCTTTCAAAAACGGAAAACACGCATGTCCAATGCCGATGTAAAGACGAAGAATGACACCCCCCCCCCCCCCGGTAGAAAAATGATCAGGGGAGGGTCATTTTTCGACGTTGAAAAATGACATCCCAACCGTAGAAAAATGCAATTTTTGTAGAAAAAAAAACTCTGGTGGTCAATTTTCTACATGTGTAGGCTATAGAAAATTGGCCTCCGTAGAAAAATGACCCTCATCCCAACAGAGTGATGCAAAGTTTAAAAGAGATTATCGATGGCAAGGTTTGGTTCTCAACGTTTAATTCTCTAGTGTTTCTTCTGACGAACACTGGAAGAATACGCAATTAAAATGTAATACAAGAGCATTGCATGTGTTAAAATCTATTATACCTATTTGGATATTTTATGTTTGTTTGTTTGTATGTTGTTTAACGTCCCTCTCGAGAATTTTTCACTCATATGGAGACGCCACCACTTGCCGGTGGAGAGCTGCAAATTTTGTCCTATACTCGGCACTTACGGCCATTGAGCAGTGAGGGATCTTTTTCGTGCCAGCACCGACTGCGACACGGGACCTCGGTTTATACGGTCTCATCCGAAGGACCGGTCTCCACGTCCCACAGTGGGATTCGAACCCGCGACGTAAGGATCAACTCCTTACTTCGCGACTCGAGAGCAGACGCTCTAACCACTGCGCCACGCGGGCGACATTTGGATATTTTACTAAAGAAAGACACTAATGGCAAACTAACAAAAAAAAGATAAATATGATGACTTCAACTCTTCTATCGTCCACGTCCCTTATGTAGCAATATACCATTATCACCTGCATATGGAATTTATGTCTCCCAGTTGATTCGATACGCGAAAGCATGTTCTATTTACGAATAATTTCTAAAACGAGACAAGCTTTTGACAAATAAGTTGATAATACAAGGATATCAACAGTCTCGTTTTGTCAACAATTCGCAAATCTTTTGGTCGATACAATCACCTTGTTAGCATATACAATCTATCGTGAACTGGCGTTTTTCATACAAATTGTTAGGCCATTATTTTCACACTGAATTGTCTATGGATTTTAAGTTTGCCCAGTCATTTCAATGAGCAACAGCGGGTGTGACCGGTCGACAGGGGAAGCTTACTCCTCCATGACACCTGATCCCACCTCTGATAATTTTTACAGGTTCGTGTTTGCTTTTTTTCCTTTGTAATGTTCTGATGGACATTTGAGCTTGATTACTGGACGTTATCTTCAGATAGAATATTTCACCAATATAGTTTTCAGCACACAATAAAAATCGCACAATAGGTACATCATAGTGCCTATTGGATAAAAGTGTTATCTTAATCTTTCCTTTTCATAGTTTTATATTTTACTAATTATAAAAGTTAATTGCCAACTAACAATTAAACTATTGACAAACTATTGACAAACGGGATGACTATCCCTTTATATGAGCTTCGGCAGAAATAGCATATCTGCCCTCTTATAAATCTTCACAATTTTATTACTATCATGAATGATTTTTATTTCAAAATTCTTAATTTTATGGAACATTTAATATCTAAAAGCCATGCAAAATTTGGTAATAATTAATTGAATATTTACAAATTAAGATATAAGCTTTGTCTACGAGTGTTTTTTTTACTATTTTTTTTTTTTTTTTTTTTTTTTTTTTTTTTTTTTTTTTTTTTTTTTAATTTTTTAATTTTTTTTTTTTGAATTAATATATAAATCAAAATATAATTTTTTTCCATCCGTTACGTACCATAGCGCCCAAGATGCTAGGAACCAAATTTTAATTGATTAATTTTTCTGGTGTCTAAGTAAACATAAAAGCAAAGTTTCATCAAAATCGATGACCATGGTTGCTAAAAAAGATTAAAAGTGGTTCAGAGATTATTCTCAATGCTCAATTCTCAATACTCAGAGATTGTTCTCAATACTCAGAGAATTGTTCTCAATACTCGGAGAATTGTTCTCAATTCTCAATATTTAGAGAATTGTTCTCAATACTCAATAATCAGGAAATTGTACTCAATACTCAATTCTTAATACTCAGAGATTGTTCTCAATACTCAGAGATTGTTCTTAATTCTTAATACTTAGAAAATTGTTCTCAATACTCAATACTCAGAAAATTGTTCTCAATTCTTAACACTCGGATGTTGTTCTCAATTTTCAATACTCAGAGAATTGTTCTCAATGCTCAATACTCAGAGAATTGTTCTCAATTCTCAATATTTAGAGAATTGTTCTCAATGCTCAGAGAAATGTTCTCAATACTCAATTCTCAATACTCAGAGATTGTTCTTAATTCTTAATACTTAGAAAATTGTTCTCAATACTCAGAAAATTGTTCTCAATACTCAATTCTTAATACTCGGATTTTATTCTCCATTTTCAATCCTCAGAGAATTGTTCTCAATACTCAGAGAATTATTCACAATTCTCAATATTTAGAGAATTGTTCTCAATACTCAGAGAATTGTACTCAATACTCAATTCTTAATACTCAGAGATTATTCTTAATTCTCAATACTCAGAAAATTGTTCTCAATACTCAATACTCAGAGAATTGTTCTCAATTCTCAATATTTAGATAATTGATCTCAATACTCAATACTCAGAGATTTGTACTCAATTCTCAATTCTTAAAACTCAGAGATTGTTCTCAATATTCAATACTCAGAAAATTGTTCTCAATACTCAATTCTCAATACTCAGAGAATTGTTCTCAATACTCAATTATCAATTCTCAATACTCTGAGAAATGTTCTTAATTCTCAATACTCAGAGATTGTTCTCAATACTCAGAGATTGTTCTCAATACTCAATTCTCAGTACCAGAGAAATGTTCTCAAATCTCAATACTCAGAGAATTATTCTCAATACTCAATTTCCTTTGTTCCCGTAAGATTTCATGCAGGTTTCGAATTCTTTAATTTTCAGAATTTTTACAACTTTTGCTAATAAGGTAAATACACTTAAATGCTAAGCGGATTTTTTTATCCTTCAGGGTCATATCACGTTAAGTTTTATCAAATTCACCCAGAACAGGTTTGTAAACTTCAATGGATGAAAATTTACGCCGAATTTCTCTGAAGTTAAGTTTGCATTTTAATGTTAACAAATATTTGTACATGTATTATTCACGTTGAATATTTTAATCCATTACAGTTTATATAAAAGGTGAAAAGGTAAAGATAATGAGCAGGGTTAATCTCATCAATTCTATAAAAAATAATTGAACAGATTCCACAGAAAGCAACACAAAATAAAAAGTAATATCGGAACATTTGACAGAAATATGTCATAAGATCGCATAAGACCAAAATAGTTCTTTTATTTTGTGCTCACGTGACGGTAATTTTAGCTTTTATAACCCTCGTTTACAAAACATGTAAAATAAAACTTTTTTTTTAAATTTGTAAACAGAGATACTTAGTTCACTTTTGAATAATTGTTAATTTTTTGTGCAGATACACAGTGGTCATTAGTTGAAACGTCGTATGTATTTGCAATTTTCTCATATATGGTAAAATTCTTTCTTCCGTACGAGTATTAAATGACAGTAGCATATGAACTTATAACCAATTAGCAGTTAATTATAACTGAGCGATAAGATACAAAAAAAAAACTCAAACTTGAACATCCTCAAGCATTTTGAGTAATGGATGATAAGTTAAAACAAAACAAAAACAGAGTTATTAGACAAAAAGAAAAAAATAAACGATTCTTGAAAAACATTTGTTTATGTATGAATATTCAATACTGTGAAGAGTATGAATTAATTCATTTTTTTTTTAAGATTTGAGAAATATTTACATACCTTCAAATAGGTGATTACATGCCACATGCAATATATAAAAGCTTAAAAAGCACACATATTTTTTCAGCATATTGGGAAGGTTAATTTGCGGCACAGATATTTGTTTTGCATATAAGGCAATTGAACACCCTGGGTTAAGTAATGACTGCTTCAAAAGTAAACAGGGTTTATTCCCTTCTTGGGGAGACAGATAAAACAGGATTACGTCTATTCAAGTACTGGTCCTTACTTTTGTTTAGAGAGGAAAGAACATGTATACAACTGGTATCTGTAAATAAACACGGGGGTTTAATTCGACCAGCTATCTCCAGCTTGGCGATTTAATGTCAATGGCTTTTCTTTTTTGTTACCTGGTTACATAATTAACTTGGTCCATTGGTCAGCGAATGTGTTATCTTGATGACGCAGTAACTTTATTATTGTCAATATGTCTCCGTATTAAGAATTCCTTCTACAACTATTTTATTTTTAAAATTCAGTGAAGCAAGTTACTAGTACCAGAATCAATTTAACATTATAAAATTTAGTTTTGATTTCTTACCTTTACAGGAAAAGATCTGATAATTCATGATCATAAAAATGAAAATCTATAGATCTGTGAAATTGTTCAAAATGACATGATAACTGATTGCATTAGATACTGTATTTTTTTTTTCTTGAAAGAAGTGAAAGATTTTTTTTAATTTAAAATCAAAAAATTAAGTTTAAAAAGAAATCGTTTGCGTCAATAAAGTACTACGTATTTTTCTCGAGTTACCAAGAGAAAATCCCACTATAGGAATAAAATTGTGAAAATAGTACATGTACTAGTATTTCCTTTGTAAAAAATTGCAAATATGTGAAATATTTCTTAGATTATAAAGACTTATCAGATATATTGTTAATATATCGTAATAATGTTAATTGAAGTTATTTTATTTCGATATTATATTATATTATATTATATTATATTATATTATATTATATTATATTATATTATATTATATTATTATATTATATGTAAATAAAGCAACAGATAGAAAGAGAAGGTCTTAAAATTTCTACCCACAATACTGACTTCTAGGTTCCTCATTCGATAAAAATACGAAACCCCTATTGACAGGAATGATTTATGATGACAGGGTATCCAGGTATACCAGCAAAAAAGCTTTTGCGATTTAGATATTCTTTCTTCTAATGCACATCTACCTGGAACCTGTATTTTTTCCCAGTGAACTAGAAATAAAAGACACCATGCAGATTCTGCAACATCAGTTTCAGATTTGGATGTTTTACTGAATACAGACGACAAGGGCTTCCTGACAACTAATTAGATTAAACTGTATATGATAAAAGAGATGACTTAAGATTTTCCATCGCTAAGCTTCCATATTCATGTTTTAATGTTCCATTATAACCTGCATATGGTGAAGATTAAGAGCAGTGATCGATCTAAAACTATAAATAACACAAATATGATCAATACAAGGCATAAACACGGACCCCCGGAAATTCCAGAGGTGGGATCAGGTGTCTAGGAGGTGTAAGCATCCCCTGTTGACCGGTCACACCGCCCTGAGTCCTATGTATTGATCAAGTAGACGGAACATTCCGTGAACAAATTTAGTGCAAAAACAAAGGCCTAACAATTGGTATGAAACATGTCAGCCAAAATACGACCTAGTGATAGGTTATATTAGCTAATGAGGTCATTTTAATGACCATAGAATTTACAGAATGTTGACTTTGTTGTTGTTGAAATGTTGAAATGCCTGCAACATCAACTTATGTGTGAGTAGCGATTTAAAAATTGATTGTACTCAGAGCATGCAATTAAGAAATAGTAAAAATTGGGTGAGGGCATTTAAAATCTTTTCAAGAACCACTGGACAAGAGAAGATGAAACTTATTTGAAAACTTTCTGACATAGTGTAGATTTAATTTGTTCAAATCAAGATCCCAGTGGTAGGGTGGTGCGATCAAAGTTTTACATAGGAATACATAGGAAAAATCTTGAAAAATCTTCTTCTCTAGAACAGCTAAGCCATGATTAGTCGTATTTATATGGAAGCATCTTCAGGTAGTGTAGATTTAAGTTTGTTCAACTCATGACCCTCGGGGGTAGGGTGAGGCCACAATGGGCAATCAAAGTTTTACATAAATCTTTAAAAATCTTCTCAAGAACAACAAAGAGCCATGATTAGTCGTGTTTATATGGAAGCATCCTCAGACATGGTCGTAGGAACCGGGGGGGGGGGGGGATGGGGTGGGCCGTGCCCCCCCCCCCCAATAATTTTGCCGATATATATATAATACCATAGAAAACAGCTACTATATGCTTGTGCCCCCTCAATAATGATGACCTTTTTTGGCTTGTCAAGGAATTGTGATACTTAAAAGCCCCCCCCCCCAACTGAAAATGTATGGTTGTGCCCCCTCAAAGTGAAATTGCTTCCTACGGGCCTGTCAGAAGTGTAGATTCAAGTTTGTTGAAATCATTAGTCCTGAGATTAGAGTAGGCCACAATGGGCAATCAAAGGTTAACATAGGAGGATATGCTGTTAAAAAACAAGAAGGGCCATAGTAACTCGGGTGAGCGTTGTGGCCCATGGGCTCTTGTTTTTAAATTGTTAAGGTTGTTTACAACAAAAAGATTCAGTCACTGCAAGAGCAAAATACTTTTTATTGTTTTACAACCAATGACAACAGAATTGAATGGGGAAAAGTATAGCAATTTATTTGAAGACGTAGAATTAAAAAAAGGATTTTGCATATTTTTTTTTATCAAATATGAACATTACTTAAAAAATACGGGTGATTCATAAGAAATATTATTAAAATATGTTCATGACTTATCTAAGACCTCGCTTAGATTGTTTTATGTTACGATATAAGTACTTAGGCAGGTTTTATATTGCACCTAAGTCATAGTTATGACCCTATTTAAGTCAAAAACTTAGAAGTCTTTATGTTACGAGTCCTAGAATACAGGTAAATATTGGATTCCTTTTGATGCCAAATACTACCCGTGGCCTTGAAAAATCGCCTAAAGGAGGTATCTACTAAATAGAGAATAATACATGGCAAAATCTGTATCACACCCCATATCAACCCGAGACTCCAATATCAGCCCGAGGGCCGAAGGCCAGAGGGCTGATATTGGTCGAGGGTTGATATGGGGTGTGATACAGATTTTGTCATGTATTGTTGTTTTTATTATATATTTGAAAATAGTGTCAAAAAATCATAAATAAACCTGTAAATTAATTAATTCTTAATAATTGAATATGTTCTTTTTTTTCGTTTAATTTCCTTTCTCATAAATTTTTTCCAAAGGCAATGCATACAGCGATAAGAAATGAAATAATTATGAATTAAACAAATAATTATTTTGAATAGCATAAAATATCTGATGAAAATTTACAATTTAAATAAACATTATAAACAATTAATAGAAAAAGATCCGAGGTACTCCGAATGAAAAATACAGAGATGTTCCGGAAAGGTGTAATAAAGGGTGTGATAAAGGGTAAAATAAAGGGTGCTGATACAGGGTGTGTAATACAGGGCGCGTGCCTGTGTTCATATCAGGGATGCAAAAATCCTGTATTATTGAACAAATATATAATAAAGGGCCTTATTTACATTTTCAACAGTGAAATACTGTGATTTATTTATTGAATAAAAGTGATATTTTCTCACAGTGTGAAAGGATACCAAAGTGATATTCTATAACAGTGTGAAATGATATCAGAGTAAGTAAAATATAATTTCTGGCCTGTAATTAGATAGAGTTAGTACCTAAACCATTTTGATAGAGACTAAAACTGCCAATTTCTTCCCAAATATGGTGCTTAAATCCATGTTACAATGTTTTCAATCTTACAGTTGCTAAGCTATGACGTCTCAATGTTCAACGATATAACGTCACAGAATATTACACTGTGTTAAGAAAAGACCGAGGCAAAGGGAAAATCAAAGAAAATGTAATAAACAGAAAATTCAATGTTTTGCAATTGGATTTGGAATTTATTTCACTCGTAAGACAGGATTTTTTTTACATTTTCACTCATGCTTCGCATTCGTGAAAATATATAAAAAAAAAATTATGCCCCACTCGTGAAATAAATTCCATATCCAACTACAAAACATTGAATATTTTCTATATAACATGTATAACATACGGAAGCGTATTAGTGCCAGTTTGACACTTTTTATTTCTTAATTTCTACATTTTAATCTGTAAAATTTACACTTTAATGTGTAAAATTTACAGATTAATCTGTAAATTTTACACTTTAATCTGTAAATTTTACAGATTAAAGTGTAAAATTTACACATTAATCTGTAAATTTTACACTTTAATCTGAAAAACCTGTACTGTAATCTGTAATGGCGAATGGTCGTTTCATTGTGTTATACCTATGACATTTGAAAAATAGTATTAAACTGAGATGTTCACAAGTGTTTGCATAAAAGTTTATACATGTATATATGATAAGTAAAATGGGCGATTTCCTCATGGGCCTCGTAATTTTCCCCAGCAAAATATTGGGAATCTGCTTTCAATCCAGTATATTTCTTTACTACTATAGTAAAGAACGACAAACAGTAAAAAATATATCTCTCAAATATTTTTGTCTTCTCATTTGCAGTTCAGATTGATATACAAGTTTATTATATACCCAACTGTTTGTCACTCAGTTTTACTGTTGAATATACGCAATCACGTGACGATGTGATCCGACGTTCCGGATCACCACACTGCGGTTTTCTGAATCCATATCACCCCTCTCTGAAACTGATGACGTAGTACACAGATATATGACGTTTTTATTCTCGCGCATCAAAAAGTTCCTTGACAAAATGGTTTGTTTAAGGTATGTCACTCGTCAGCCTTTTAGAAAAGTTCAGTCAGAACCTCTTACTTAAAAACTATTCATTATAATTCAATCTTTATAACATATTTAGATTAAACAATGTAAAATGTTCAACATTCAATTAAAAAACTGCTCAAAAATTCATAAAGAAGCAAGATTTATAAGGGACTATTTCTTGCGGTGGAAGGATATTTAGCAGAAAATTCTGCAGATCTACACATTTATTGAATTTAATATCTTGGAACATTAGCCTCACATACTTTTACTCAGAGAATATTTTCCGTTATGATATGCCTGGAATATTAAATATAGGTCTCAATTTATATTTTCATAACAAAATTTACACCTTCGCTCAACAAACTTTGCCAAGAAATGAAGATATATTAAAGAAATCAAGATAAATTTACGCAGTTTTTTTGCCGGAAAATCGCATATTTTGACCAATATTTCAAAATTTACATCACTGACCCTAACTTTTTCTTTCATTATTTTAAACTACTCGATACTTTTGACCGATCAGTACTTTAGTCGTAAAAAGTTTGATACAAGAAAATATTCTATTGCCTATTTAGATTTTCCAAAGAGTTACAATTTAAGTGCAAAAAGGTCAACTTAATTGTACTGTAGCTCAGTTAGATGCACACTGACCCCCCATTTTCTCTGCGATTTTGAGTCATACTTTACGAGTACTTATCCAAAATATACTTCTCAAAAAATCCTTGATATTACAAATTTCACGAGTGACATACCTTAATGGATAAAATTTATGTAATTGATCCAAAAAGTTTTTTTCTTTTATCATATTTTGCTCGTTGTTAAGGGGTATATAATAAATTTATCATTATAACAGTAACTTGATCCGAAGAGCCGTATCACGTCTCGTTGACAGGCGCGGATCACCAGATCAAACTCGACGCTTCGCGTCTCGTTTGATCTGATGATCCGCGCCTGTCAACTTGACGTGATACGGCTCTTCGGATCAAGTTACTGTTATAATAATATAGATTTATGAGTCTATGATCATGATGTAAAATATAACAGTTAAAATTACGGTCATTTTAGAACATAACAATAAAGAAACATCATTGAATCAAAGGATATTGATTTCTTTGGTGTTCCAAAATTAATATAAACTCATATATACTTAAATTATTTATACATGTATATACTTTGATAATTAATATATTAATTGATTATTTTAAAATTCTCAATTCAGTAAGTAATTCAATTGTTGCCCGTAATACATGTAGAATATAATTTAATTAATGCTATCAATAATTGAACTGCTGAGCGCATCAAATGAATTTGCGTATAATGATATCAATATCATATTCATTGAGAAGATATGTGTGTTTGAGTTGCTCTTCACATCCATTGAATTCATAATTCTCTCAAATATTCTATGAAAGTCTCATATCAGTCATGCACACTAGATTGCTTACTATTTGTATTATATCCATACGTATAATATCTGATAAGTAATTATTTTCCACATTTATTGTTCAATAAAAAATTAAAATTAAATTTCATCATGCAGGATTCATGGTATATTGGCTTTAAAGCGTGTTACTTAAGATGTATGAACTTGCCAAGTTGATTATATGAATTAAACAGATAAAAGTGTAATTTTTACAGATTAAAGTGTACGATTTACAGATTAAAGTGTACGATTTACAGATTAAAGTGTAAAATTTACACTTTAATTTGTAGAATTTAAAGATTAAAGTGTAAATTTTACAGATTAAAGTGTAAAATTTACAGATTAAAGTGTGGAAAATAAAAAATACAGGCTAAAGTATTTACAACGCTGGAATACGTGCTATTTTCAGATGAGAAATCCCAAAGATACTTCATCGTGTTCAGTGCATGACAAGCACGTACTGCGTCTAATTAGAGCATCTCGTAGTTCAAAAGATGCTGAGGAAAAGTCAAATACTTTAACAGTTTGTCAATATTTGCTATTGACTAGGATACGATAGTGAACGGACCCGTGGTGCATGAACAAGATTTTAAAGCAAACATGTAATAGGGCAAAGGTACCCGACACTACATCTGATCCCTAGAATGCACATATTGGAGTTTTTTTTTCAATTCAGTATATTTATATATAACAGAAATAAATAAAACAAATGAACAATTTTGTCAAAATATAACAATGTAGCTAAACACAATAGTATTTTTTTAAATTACAGCTTTAATTGTTTAAATGTCAGATGCATCCATAAACTGAAGTTAGTGAAGCACATCAGATTAGAACACGATAAAGGAAGTTTTAATTTCATAGACACAATGCATTTTGGGCGCAGTATCTTTCAGGTAAGTTGAATTTATTGAATAGAATTTTATTTCCAATATGTTTACATTCAATCATTAAATTTGTGGTAAATTGTAAATGATACAGTATTAACTAATTCGCGTTAGCAGTACTTCAATCTTCTTTCGAATACTTAAGAGGGCTGACTGTAAACTTGTTGAGATCAGCTTAGTTTGTATTTATGACATGGTATTTAGTTTCTGAATTGTAGAAACCTGGATTCCTTTTTAAGTAAAGTAATATAGATGGGAACTGGAAGTATATATTCTCCTCAATATAACTGTATAAAGCAAAAATTATCACTTCAAACACTCAAGTCATACAATATGTTTGAAAATACCTATTGAATTGTATATTATTTTCTGAATAATTGTATTACTGTGTTTTATAAGCGAGAGACAATTTCATAGCTATATATGAATAGCTATTTATAATCTCATATAAAAATAGTTATTTATAACCCTGATTCAGAAATAAACCCTTGTATTACAATTAAGGTTCCTCCTATTTCACAATTTAGACCTGACTTAGACTGCTGCTAAACTAGCTGTTTTCTGTCTTTTTTAACATTTTAAACTTGTCTGGAAATTAAGATATCGTTTTAGATTTAGAAAGTATAGGCTATTATAAGAAAAACAATACCTATGCCATATTTCACTGAAAAAAAGTTTATATGGCCAGTAAAGAGAAGACCCCAATATTGATTAACTGATGGATGCTTTCAATGAAAATTCAAGTCTTCTTACAATATCAGGAACTCTATTTTTTTCTAAATCAGTAGAATTAAGATTTCTTGATCGATTCCGAATTCAAATACATATAAAAAGAAAAAAAATAAATTTTTCATGGTTTTTGAAAAAGTGATCAGAGGTATCCCTCATCTTCCTGTATATTTAAAATGAAATATGGCTCACATATTCTTCATTTAACCCAACTTTTTCAAGTTGCATGTAATCCAATTTCCCAAACATTTAGTCCTGAAAAAAAAACAATATTTCTTCAATTGAATGGAATCTGTGACTACAAGTGGTAGTCATCCACCCACTATAGATGGCTGATGCTAACCAAGATTACGTTATATACGTAAAAATATTAATGACTTTTTCACAAAAATGAGATGGGATATATAGGTTTTTTTTATTCTGTAAGGTATGGGACCATAACTTTTTTTTAAGATATTTTTTTGCACCTGTTCCATCCTGATGATAAATATTGCCTGGATCTTTAATTCATTTTTAAGGGCTGATTGCAAAAACATCTTTCAGGAAAGTATATATATAAATCCGGATTTTCTTATTTATCTCTCGACCAATCCCATTTAGCCTTTTAGTAACAACATATTGATTTGTCAACTGCTTCCTTGAAATCTCCAACATGCTTGATTTGCTAGGTACTTCTCAATGAGAGAAGATGAATATCAACACCCCAAACCCCCACCCACCCACCCCAAACCTTCAAAACAGGGGGAAAAACAAATGAATTTTGTCAGTGGTCCCACGACCATGAGTGAACTCAGGACGTTGATGTTGTGAGGATGGACGCTGTGTGAATTTGTGTAAATTTGAGAACCTATGACAAGACATCATCCTCATTAATGTGAAGGAAGTACCTAATTAATCGGCTTTAATTTTCCCTGATTTTAGCAGTTCATATCCTGATTCACATTTATACTTCCGTTCATTAAAAGGGTCACTTGACAAATAAATGAACATGTACATACTTGATTTATTTTGGTTGCACTTTTGTTTTTATGTTTCCTTATATTAAGTGTGCTAAAAACCAAACAGGCATGTGTCCCAGCAAAATCGAGTAGTACTGAACTGGTTTTGTTGGTTTACAATACGTATGTAAAACACATCTCTCTTTTTTTTAGAGAATTAAAATCGAAATCTCTTGAGAGAACTTACTCCAGAAGATTGCGGAAGATGACTCTTAGGAGAGTTGGGTTGTGGTGCGTTTTTCTGGTGAAACTTGTCATTGTTATTGCCCGCTGTGGGGACGGGTATTGCAAGTGTTCAGAGGTACGTAAAAGAGCAACATGTTCATCCAAACAAAGGAAACTGAACTACTTCCCTGCTCTCCCTCCTTATATCAAACAGCTAACTTACAGGGACAATTACCTACCACATCTCAACCGGAACATGGTCGTCAATTTGACCAAAATCAAGTTGGAGCAGCTTTACCTAAATGATAATGGGATATTTAAATTAGATGCTAATACGTTCAAAGACTTAAACAGTCTTGTGAAACTTGACATTTCTCGTGAGAGCTTGCTAAAAAGCGAAGTTGTTGCAAAAGCGCTACATCATGTGAGTCGCTCCTTCGAAAGATTGGTTCTGCAGCATAACAAATGGGATACCATTCCCTCTAATATGTTTGATGGACTTCAAGATTCTCATATTTCATATATAGATTTATCATATAATAACTTACATTCATTCAACGGCACCGAGGTTCTCCGACTAATTCCTCGTGTTAAATACTTAATCCTAAATAATAACCCTATATCTCAAAGTGATTTTGACTTTCACAACATGGCCTATATGTTTAAGCTAAGCTTGGAAAATACATACCTACAGAAGGTTCCTAATTTCTGCGATGACAAAGGTAGCAGTTTTTTACCTCGTTTACGATCTCTTTACTTGGGTCACACTTCGTTGAGATCAGTCACCATGGAAGATTTTAAATGTTTGCCATTCCTTTGGAAATTATCTCTTTTGTTTGCAGACATAACAGTTATCCCAAACAATACTTTTGCTGCCTTGCCCGTGTTGGAAACTCTCATACTAGAAAGTGTCATTAGGCTTAGGAGACTTGAATATCTTGCCTTAAACTCGACCTCCTTGCAGAAATTGCAATTCGGTTATGCAAAATTTAAGTTTGACGACAAAGGAAGATATAACAATGAATTGTTTAAATTTGCACCAAACATCAGAGACCTAGACCTTACTAGCAATTCGATTTCAACAGGATCCATTTTAAAAACACTTTTGTGGCACCTAGTTAGACTTGAAAAATTAAACCTCCAGGGTTGTGGGCTGAATTATCTTGCACGTGGAACGTTCGACAGGATGGCCAGAATTAGTGTAATTATTATGAAAGGCAACAATTTGTATGGATGGGATCCGACCATATTCAACAAATTGACATATCTACAAAAACTTTACATTTCTGGAAACAACATCGCCGTGGTCAATCGCTCCTCTTTGGACTTCACAAGAAAAATAAGACTACAGGAGATCGACTTGTCCAACAACCCATTTTCATGTACCTGTCAACTTCTTTGGTTCCGGGACTGGTTAAAATCTACCAAAAATCTAACAGTAGCACTATATCCCCATCGATATTTCTGTAGATCACCCCCTGCCTGGAACAAGAAGTTATTGATCTCTTTCAATTATACCGCCGAAGATTGCCGGGAGAAAAACCCCTGGGTATGGATCGGCAGTTTTCTTGGCTCGGTCCTTTTCTTATGTATTGTGGTTATCATCCTAATATATTGGCATCTTCCTACTATCAGGAATATCATATACCTGATTCGGTTACGTAGGAAAGGATACGTAAGAATGGTTAACTCGTCTGATTATCTATTCGACTGCTACATCGTATGTTGTGAGTCTGATGAGAGTTGGGTGCTCCAGACATTGTTGCCTAAGCTGGAGGAAGAACTTTTTTATAGTCTTTGTATACCTTCGCGAGATTTTGATCTGGGAGGCAACATCGCCGACCAGATCATTGAGAAAATGCAGGAAAGCAAGAAAATTATCTTGGTGATGTCCAACGAGTTTGCGCAGGACGAGTGGTGTCAGTTCGAGTTAGCAAGAGCACAGGAGCGGATCCGCAATCAAGGGACAGAGGCGGTAGTAATTATCATGTTGCGTGATATTGACAATAGACATATGACATCTGCTATCAAGGAACTGCTACGTAAAAATTCTTATGCAACATGGGTTACTGGCACAATTGTAATACAACTATTCTGGAACATTGTTTTGGCAGCTATAGAGAAGCCCTTTGGAAATCCCCCAGTTGCCGTTTTATGACAAAAGAGCATTCCCCGATGTCATGTCTATAAATAGCAATACATAAAACCATGTTACGACTGTATTCTAACAGTAAAAGAAATATATTTGCCGACTACAAAAAAAATTATGGACATAAATAAAAAGCATTTTCCTTAATTAATACGTATCAAATACATGTTAGAGAAGCGCGAGTCTCGTGCGTACCCATCAGCCTATAATTAACCTTGCCGCAAGCCATTGATAACAGGTCACAGGTGATCATTTTTTAAAACAAACGGCCAGGCCAGTGTTTTTACAACAATTAACACCCAGATCTAGTATAGCAAGTCGAATGAAAAATATCTTGAACACAATCATAAGTTCAGACCAGACAGGTTTTGTACCCGGAAGATACATAGGTGAAAATACTAGATTAATTTATGATTTAATGCATTATACAGAAGAAAGAAATATCCCTGGATTGTTGTTAATGATTGATTTTGAAAAAGCTTTTGACACAGTTTCATGGAATTTTATTGATAAAGCTCTTACATTCTTTAATTTTGGGCCTTCTCTAAGAAGATGGATTTCAGTATTTCAGTATTTCAATGTAATATTGTATCAGCTATCAATCAAGCAGGTCATTTATCCAATTTTTTTAAACTAGGCCGTGGCTGTCGTCAGGGTGATCCAATTTCACCATATTTATTTTTACTATGTGCAGAAATTTTAGCTTTAAAAATAAAAAATAACAAAAAATTAAAGGTATTAAAATTGATGAGGAGGAATATTTAATGTCTCAATATGCGGATGATACGCTAGTTATACTAGATGGAACAGAACAATCCCTAAGAAACTGTATTGAAGAAATAAATAAATTTTATAAATTATCAGGACTTAAAATTAATCTCTCTAAGACACAAATAGTATGGATAGGAAGCAAAAAGTATTCAAATGAAAGATTACTTAATGAAATGAATTTCCAGTGGACAACACAATTTAAAGTATTAGGTATTTATTTTGACGTGGACTTAACTAGAATTCCAAAACTTAATTATGACAAAAAATTGGTTAAAATTAAGAATATAATACTACAATGGAGTAAAAGACGTACAACTCCCTTGGGTAGGATTTCACTTATTAAATCACTACTAATAGCACAGTTAAACCATCCCTTTATTGCTTTACCTTCACCTTCTGAATGTTTTGTTAAAAATCTAAATAACGTTATGTTTAATTTTCTATGGAGATCTAAAGTGGACAAGATAAAAAGAAAACAAATTACTCAAGAGTATAAGAGTGGTGGATTGAATATGATCGATATAAATAACTACATTAAGGGCTTAAAATCATCTTGGATTAAAAGACTATTCAATGGCCAGGATTCAAAATGGAGATCACTTATTCAAAAAGCCTTTAATATTGAAAAATTATTTAATACTGGCTCAAATTATATTGAACTAATTTTACAAAGTATAACTAATAATTTTTGGAAAGATACATTAATTGCCTTCAAGAACATAGAAGACAAAATGAAAATAGATTCCTGGGAAGATTTCATCTCTCAACCATTATGGCACAATAAAAAACTCAAAATTGACAATAAGCCCATTTTTTACTCTAAATGGTTTATCAATGGTGTAATATTTATTTCAGATTTGTTAGATGAACAGGGAACTTTTCTAAAATTAGAAGAACTTCAAGCAAAATTTAATATAGAAACCAATTTTTTAACCTATGCAAGTCTACAGAAAGTTATAAAAGTAGCTATGGCTGTAGAAAAAGTAAACAAAGAAAGATCAAACCCAAAGCCCATTCTACCTTTTTATTTAAAATTATTCTGTTTAGCTAAAAAAGGAACAAAACCTATGTATAATATTTTGAATACAGAACATGTAGTACCTTTCTCAAAAGTGAAATGGAGTAAACATTTTGAAATTCAAGATTCCCTATGGGAAATGCTATACAAAATTCCTTTCCAATGTACAAAAAGTTCTAAATTACAATGGCTACAATTCAGAATAAATCAACATATCTTAGTTACAAATAAAATTTTATATAAAATGGGTTTGAAAGATACTAAATTGTGTAGCTTCTGTCAGACATGTGAGGAAACAATTTTTCATATTATGTGGGAATGCCAGAAGGTTCAAGAACTTATAAATAGTTTTACCATTCTTTGCGAAGCTCATAATATAGAATTTCCAATAGATAGTTGTACATTCATACTTGGAAACCCAATACCCAATAGTAAGGAATTAAATACAATACTGTTATGTATTAAATCATTTATATACAGAACTAAATGTCGTAATGAGGTTTTGAGATTACAAGGATTACGTGGAGATGTTAAAACATTACTATCTACCATGAAATATAGCGCAACAAAAAGTAATCAAATTAAAGAGTTTAATAATAAATGGAAAAATTGGCTTTCACTTATGTAAGACCCTGCAAATAGGCACTTAAAGATATTTTGCACAATCCTTGGACATACTCTTACCAGTACTTTAATGAACAGACATTTATCTTTGATCATGCTCTTCTTTTACCATTCTCAACCCTCTCCCCTCTCTCTCCTTCTTTCTTTCTCTCTCTCTCTCTCTCTATCTCTCAGTTGTCACAATTATAATTTTTTTTGTTTATTTGTTTATTATATTCATTAATGATATAATGTTGTAATCCAGATTATAGACATGTGTGTGACAATTGGTATTAATAAAAAAAAAAAAAAAAAAAAAAAAAAAAAAAAAAAAACACCCAGATCTAGAAATTTGAGTAGAGTTGACCGACCAATTAAAAAATTACCGTCCGGATAAATGAACCAAAAAATAACGTTAAAATTCATTTTGTGGTGAAAAAAGACCGTCCGGATACGGAACGCGGAATTCCGGTTAAACGAGACAAAATAACGTTAAAAAATTCCGTTCCCATGAAAAATCGTCCGGAAACTGAAGCGTCCGGATATCTGAGGGTCCACTGTATATTTGAATTTTTCTGGAAAACAAATTTCCCACCTACCTACCGACCTATTTTTTTCCAAGTCGGGAGAAAGCAAACAAACATTATTTTAAAGATGGCCTCAATACACACTATTTTACGAAAGCTATTTGTAAATAGATTGCAAATATATGCAAGCCGCACGGCCAAGTCTGAAGTTAAGTTTCTTTTATGATAACGTCAAAAATATGGATTTTGAATTTTTATCACATATTCGTGGTTTTCTTTATTATGCCACACTCCTTAGTGCGATAATATTTAAATATAGACAAAATTGAGTAAATTTTTAGAATTCAAATAAATATTCGATAATTAACGAGCGTCACCAATATAAACAATATGTATACATAGGCTGCACAGTCCAGTCTGAAGTTGCGCTAGGTTTATAACAACGTCATCAGTAGTGTTCTACTTCTTGTATTGTCTCATAAATACTACATCGTATATATATACCAATTTCAAATAAACGAACTAATTATAACATATTTCTAGCGGGGTTTTTTTTCTTAATATTTCCACTCCATGTCCAATAAGCCATAATAAAGTTATCAGAAAAGGACACATTTTAATTTTTATTAAGTTTTGGTTTGTTTTATGAAGGAAATAATCATTTTTCTCCAAAAAAAAAATCTTTATTTCAACGTTTGTGACATTTTAACCCTGGGCCGTGCGCACCATCTGCGACCTTTAAAGACCGAAATTTTTACAAAAATGTCAAGTTTACACAACCAAAATCAAGCTGACTCGGATTTTCTAAACAAAAAATATTTTAGAATAGAATCAGTATATCTAGGACCATGCAATTTGACAAAAACGTCATTGTCCAAGAACTTTAAGGACAACCCTCGTATGATAGGTAAAATGGAATTTTGTTCGCAGCAATTACAATGCAATTATAACGATTTGTTGTTAAATTTGATTTTGATTTATTATCCTAGTTCTTCCTGGTGTGTGTGCAAAAATAAAAATAGATACACGAGACACTCCATCTTTTATTTACAATACCTATTTTATTAATATAAATTTGTTACATTTAAAGTCATTTCACAGCGTTCCCTTCATCTTTTGGTTTTTGCCTCCCATTCTTCTATGACTTTTTTCATGTATTCTAGATGACCAACTGGTCGGTGAGCTGTAAAATCAGGAGGAAAAATATCAAGTTTAAATGCAGAGGATCCAATTTTAAAATTAAATCATAAATTACTCAGTGTTTATGCAGGGATAATGTAAATTACTTAAACTGATTTAGAGATAATCATATATTTAAACCAAAATCTCATAAAAAGTCATCTTTCTAAAATTTCACATGCAAGAATTTTCTTTATTCTCATTTAAAACATGCACAATGTTTATCATATTTTTATCAAGTAAGGAGATAATATTTTAGGTGTGGTCTAACAGTTGCAGACTCTCTATTCATTGCACACTGAACGTAACAGATTGATCTAGTATAATATTACTTTAACAGAGAACACATTATAATGGATATCATTACAAAGTTGCCATTGTAAACTTCTAAAGGATTAAGATACCCGTGTCTCTACCAAGTTAACCTCCTCTGTCAATGAAAGAATAATACACTGTATTCTTTCATTGTTATGTCAATTCTATACAGGCCCGTAGGAAGCAATTTCAGTTTGGGGGGGGGGGGGCACAGCCAAACATTTTCAGTTGGGAAGGCACTATCAACTACCTTGACAAGCAAAAAAAAAAAAAAAAGGTCATCAGCCGTTTTTATTGAGGGGGCACAAGCATATAGTAGCTAAGTTTTCTATAGTATTCTATATATTGGCAAAATTATTGGGGGCACGGCCCCCCGTGCCCCCCCCCCCCGGTTCCTACGGCCATGCTATATCTATTTAAATATAGATTTTTTTTTCAATTGACAATGGGTTTTATCAGTAAGAGAATGGAAAGATATACTTTATTTTAACCTTTGGACTTCACAAGACCTTTATTATTTAACCTTGGATCAAACGAGACCTATACTTTATTATTTTACCTTGGACGACACGAAGTCGATGCTTTATTATTTAACCTTGGACACAACTAGGGCTATACTTCATTAT